GAAGTGCCCTATCTTCTGGGATATAGCGCTTGTATTTGGGTGACTTTAGCAGACTGTACAGCAATATATCCCAAAAGATGGAAGTATCTGATAGCCATATCATTATTCAGAAATCAGTGACACACCTTTGGTTCGCACAGCAGCAAGGTGAGTTCACATCCTAAATCCTGGTTTATTTACTATGAAATATATTACAGCACTTTCTTTTCTGTTCAGGAAATGTAAACATATAGTCTGGTACACTACCCTCTATGGCAGGGTTCCAGAATATTACTGAAGTTCACTGGCCACTTGCGTGCAGCCCCACAGTGCTTCAGTTGTGTTTATAATGCTTAAAAAATGTACAGTATATTTCAGTACTGCACTGATTTCAGTAACAAATGACACATTACTTCTACTAATTAAAACTTTATGGTTCTGCCATATATATTCTTGAACTGTGAAGTCCAGTGAAAACTGAGGTAAGGCACTCAATTCTGGTTCACCAACCACCCACCCTGCTGCAAATTATTATCCTGATATCTTTGTTTCATAAAACTTTTGCTTTAAGCCAATTAACTCTTATAGTTTATAGTTACTTTAATATTACAATCATGGGTGGGGGAGGGGGCTAATCAGGTATATTGCTCTTCCCTTGGATTTAAAAATAACAAAATAAAAATTGAAGAGTATACCAAATATGAACAATAAGAATTAAAAGTATTTATTATTCTGCCCTGAATACTTGAGGGCAATCGACAGAGTCTTAAGTGGCTTAAACATAAGTTTGTAAACAAATTTCCTGGCAGTCCCCTTCCCAGAATAAATTCCTGGTTGCACCCAAGACAACAGCAATCAAAGCATGATTTACAGGTCCTCATACGCTCACCTACAAAATTTAATAATTCTTAAAAATAAGCTAATTATGTAATTAAATGAATTCATTACACAAATAACCAGTTTAAAATGTAAACCAACACATGGATTTTTCACAAAAAGTGAAACCTGTCTTTCAGGAGAATTCAGATTTTACTCATATGGAGGTTCATTTTACTACTCTCTCAGTACTGTGACTATTTCACACCGAATGGCAGGATGATATATGACTAATGAATTAGAAAAGATTTGGAAGAAAGCAGTCATAACCTAATCGCGGCACTAGCACAGAATTTCCCTATATTGACTGAGGAAAATCATGAAAAAACCCAGGTCTGGATTTCCAGCGTCACAGTCGAGATTCGAACAGAGCACCCCCCCCCACCCAAAAAAAAATAAATAAATAAAAGCCTGGCGCATTACCGCTAAACAAACCCGTTCGGTTTTACCCACTCGCACACACTCGTTCTCTTTTCAAGACATTAATCTCAAACACAAGTAAGACATTTTACGGATAATCATATGTGGTACAAAAAGTCTCTATGAAATGTACGAATTACACTACCGGTGATGTAATTGTACCATCCAATATAATCCCACTATGCGTATCTACGTGTGACGAGATTATTAAATGATACTATCAACAAGAACGGTTCAGACATGGAAAATCTTAGAATAGCTACAATGAATTCTACCTAAAATTACGGAAATTGTATGAAATAATGCAACTCACCAGCAGCCAAGTCCATGTTAATTCCCAACGAAAATATTCCAGGAAACTCGGAAAAATTCCAGTACATTTTCACCATTGTCTGTAAGGGCTGTTCATGGGAATACACTCAACAAAACACACAAAGATACATTAACTGTAACCGGTTTCTGTAATCTTACGACTGCTGTATAGCTTGCCTTCATTTCTACTAACGCGTAATAAGACGTCATGGAGGAACCGTAATTCCCGCGCAAAGATAGAAGCTCTGTACTCTGATTGGTTCTCAAAGGATTAAATATTGCCTCGCAAATATTATTACTATTATTATTATTATTACACTTAATTTCGTCTGTATGATTTAGATTCGAAATTCTATTAAGAAAAAAGTATTTTGAAATATTAATGCCACGACTTCCAAATAATTAAAATGATAGTAAGATAGTGATCGATAGTGACCATGCCAGAACAACTTTTTCTTACCCTACCGTGAATATAAGATTTTAATGTCGTGTTTAATTTAGTTTTATTTTGAAAATGTAATAGATCTAAGCGATATAAATTATTCGATAAAGCTGTTGACACGTTAAAATAGAGACGTAAATTAACGTAACTTGAATGACGAACGTACTGTCAGTGCAACAACTACCTGACGACGGTGGATTTTATTGCAATACCGCTTTCTTCTTGATGGTCACGTTTCATAAATCCTGTCGAAGAAAATATGATAATATATGTGATAGGGAAGTAGCTCCTCATGTAACAGATATCAATATGCGTGTATTCCAAGGCATTTTATGTGTTCCATGTCTTCCTGAATGTCACCTTTTTTTGTAACTCCTATCGGAAATATGCCAAACTGATACTCTCGATTCCAAATGACGGCGATAATCCCCGGATTGTGCTTCCACAAGTCACAAAACCTCACTTTTCTTCTGTTACCGTTCATATAGTTGATTTTGAATCTCCCTTGAATCCTGCTTCACTTGGTTTATTCATAGACCATAAATATGTTGTTTCTCCAAAACCGCTGTTGACTTTCAAGACATGGCCTTACATCCCACATGATAAAACTCTTGTCCTCACACTTTCATAAAACAGGAAGCTTGTAACTGACTATCCCATTTTTATGCATTTGCACAAAATGAATACATTATAATATTCTGTACTCTTAAGGGAATGACCAAGCTCCCATTTTTGGGCCAATCTGCTCCTGCAATCCTGTAGGGCAGATCAGTTCATGTAACATACAGACAGACCTCTCCACTTAAAAAAAAAAAAAATGTTACTACATCTTGAAGAGGGATAATCCTGCTACATGTACAGTGTGCAATATCACACAGTTTGCTCCACAAAGCGTTATAATACATGCCCACTTACAGAATCAATCAAGGGAATGAAAAGTTTGTATGAAGTATGCCAAGCAGGCAGAAGTTAGCATAAAAAGCAGGGCAGCCTTATAATGGACGTCGTCTTGAAATACAGCCACTTCTGGAATATGGCCCAACAGATTTACTGGAGGCATCATGATATCAACACAAATGCCAGTCACAAGGGACGGAAAGTGTGTTGAAACTACAATGACAGTTTAACAAACTCTGATTTCAGAGTACCCATATAAATTTATCATAGCCCTAAGGCATTTCTGGATCTTACAATTTCATGGTCAGTACAATCTTTTAAAATTGGGCTGTCACTTGTTCAGTTGTACATAATATTTCAGCAAACATTAGTAACTATTAGTTACTATAGGATTCTGACGATGGTGTATAACACACTGATATATTGGGTTTTTGGACTTTATCCATCGTCCTGGTTTTTAAGATAATTAATAAAAACACGACGTTTCGGAAACTGGATCTGTTTCCGTCCTCAGGTGAAGGAAAACACCTATTCTGTTGGGTCCGTTAGAAAGAGCTAGCCTCAATCACTGGACCCTGATTATTCAGGGACCCAACGGAACAGGTGTTTTCCTTCACCTGAGGATGGAAACAGATCCAGTTTCCGAAACGTCGTGTTTTTATTAATTATCTTAAAAACCAGGACGATGGATAAAGTCCAAAAACCCAATATATCAGTGGATTAGTAACTATTTTCAAAATGAGCTCTACAATTGTAGGGGCGATAAGGGCTGTCTGTGATAAGTAACTCTCCTGGCTTGACTGCTAGTCAAACACTGGACTCTGGTGTACTGAATGCTGGCACCGCCTGTTTCTCAGCCACTTGCCATTTCTCTGTTAATATACCTTGGATGTTTAATCATTTCACTGCCTAGACTGCCAATACACAGTCAGTAAATATGACTGAACATTCAAATATCACACAGGCAGAAGTTGGAACAGAACCTTACAATAAGCCTCAATTTCACTGTCCTTGAACATTCCAATTCATAATTATCCTCCCATTTTACATTACATAATCTATGCAGAGGAGTAAGTGTTCTCAAACTTGGAGGGGTGCTTAAGGTTAAGAGGTTTTTACAGCAGCAAGGATTTGAATTGTGGACTTCTGAGTTACGATTCTGTGTAGTCTGGTCAGGGGGTACTAACTATGTGGGGAACCCGCTGCTTCCATCTTCATGGCAGAATTCTGAAGCTTCAATCTTCTTAATTTGAAAGATTTAGAATCTGCCAACATTTGGAAGACCCACTACTTCTATCTGTGGGGTTGCAGATCAAGGCAGTAGGATCTTTGGAAATATTAGCAGTCACATACCAGAACATACGGTATCATAATCCAGAAGACCACAATCCAAGGGAGATGGCAGGGTGTGAATTAAATTATTATATTATGCCACTCCATTAACTTCAGAGGTTACACAGCATCAAATGGGTGGCAATTATGAATCGTGAATTCATAGAGACAGAAGCAGAAACTGCACACTCTACTGCAAGGTAATATCCATGAATCTGTTGTGAGGAGTGAGGAAAATCACACAACTGCCAATCGACTCCCAACCAAAAATTGAATACTGGCACTGCTTGAAATAAGTCAGATACATTACTGTAGAAGTGAGTTTCTTCGGCAAAGCACAGAATGTTCCTGTAGTCAAGCAGGAGGTATAGTCATGGCTCCTTCAACAGTACTGATATGGAAAGGAGACAATATATACAGAACCCAAGGAAAAATCAAATGGATAGTGAGGATGACAGTGCTTGCATATTCCCTCACTCTGCCTATTGCTGCCTACAGTCCCCTCTCGTCTGTATCAACCAGCCTTAACCACTTGCTGCTAGTGAAGATTATCACATGATTAAGACTTCAACACTTGTGTGAACACAATGGCCAGACAACAGAAGGAAAATACAGGATGGAGGGTGAAGTATGTTAGTTCAAGGGAGATGTGAAGCGACTTATTTCCGCGGTCTCAGTACAAGAAATTGGTTAAAAATAGTTACTTACTTCTTGTTTCTTCATCATCTTCTCCAGCCTCTTGTAGGTGATGTAAACAAAGAATTTAATTTAGGACCAGATTCAATTACATACAAATGGAACTAATAACTGCTGTACACCATACAAGTGTATTTGAGGGTCTGCATTGGATAATGAGACAGGAAACACGTTAATTCAGTAGGTGATGAACTGGTTCTTATGACAGAAAATAAATTATTACAAACTTCCTGTTAATGAAGTAGCATATGATAAGAGTGATCCTTCAATCTGTTCGAGGAGGAGCAAGAGACTGGTACAGTTTGGTTACAGCCGTCTGCACAATCTGTTGGAATGCTTCATCCTCTTCACAGCAGACCTCCTGCAACAGGCAGCAATGTCATGTACAGGGTGAGTCAGAGTGTGGGCAGTAATACACACATAAGTGCTCTACTCACCAAATTCAACAGATCTATGTTTGCCTTCTTGCCATCCACAGTGACATACAGCTTCTCACCCTTAAATATTTTTGGAACAGAATCTTCACCAAACATTTCCTGTAACATTTCTATCAGGCATTCCTGAAAACACACACCAGAATATGAGTTCCAAATTCACATCCAAAATTTTGCATATATTTCTCACTTCCCCCATTCTCTTCTCATCTCACCCTTCCTGATGTAATCATCCTAAAAGCACTAGGTGAAGAGTAACTACATGTTATATACTATCTCAGTTCTCCTCCTGAATTTGAAGCTGAAGTTCCAACCATTCAAACAAAATTTTTATTCATTTCTTAGCATTTTAAATTGTACACAATCAATACAAAAAATACAAAAAATATAAATTATTACAAACAAACACTCATATTCCATATTTTGTTGGTCTTGTGGTCAAATCTCAGGCCAAGACTGGCTATCCTAACTGAGGTCTTTCATGGATTTCCTCAGTCCTTCCATTCACGTGCTGGGATAGTACCTCACATTATGTCACACCTGCTCCCATTCACATCCTTTCCAATTCATTATTCAGTAATCACTGTCATTTATTACAGCATAATCTGAGCTACTGCATCACTACAGAAAGCATATAAATAAATAAAAGAAACTGGGGAACATACAGAACATCCATGCATACCTTGAAATGCATGCGATCCATCTTGGATTGGATTGGAAAGAACGAGGGAGTTGTATCCAGTATCTCGGCCTGCATCACAGCAGCAAGTACAGCATCAGCATACATGTCATTCACAGGGGTTGCTATCCACTGCAACAAAATCATCCCCTATAACAAAGACATCTTTCCACCACTGCCGTCCCTGTGCTTAATTAATTAAGCACTATGCCCTGTGACACAGGGGAGTGGAGGTATAGCTCTACCATTCTTGACCTTGGCATTACGAGTAGATGGAGGTGAGTGGTCAATTTCACACTCTGCAGCTAAACAGCCCCCGGTACCCATTGTAAAGGAGGCTAGGCAGGCTCCAAAGCCAGTCTGAACATTACAGAGAGAATAAATATCTTGCCCCTGCCAGGAAAGAGTTGACTGAAGAAGCTGCTAAACAGTTCATGCAGCACAGTCATTTTGTGGTAAGCTGACCCACCCACATATACACACGCACACACACACACATGGTACTGTGAACCTGGTCTGTTTCACCAAGGGCACACTAATGCATAAGAGGGTACAATCACTCACTTTAGTCTTTCATTATATTACAACTGTTTTCTTCACTCTATCACATCTTTCTACAATACTTACATTATATTGATATTTGGTAAAGAAATTTCTAACCAGTATTAGTATGAATTGTATTAAGGGGTTTGTTTCATTTGGGCAAAAATCTGCTCTTGAAGCAGCCACTGTGAATGGGTTAAAATCAGGACTGATACATAGTTCAAGTGTTCATGGATCTCAAGCTGTACCTGAGAGTATCTCGAACTGCAATACCCGAAAGGAAAGCAGTGGGCATACCTCTAGCATGACGATCTTGTTGTCCAATGTGATGTCCACGCTCTGAAAAACTCGCATCTTCTTTTCTTCCAGCATTTCTACGTTGCCAGAAACCTGTGACAGCAGAAGTCGCAGGACTGGCAAGGCTCCAGAGTAATGGACACTCTGGCGCTGTACCACTTGACTCATGGTCATATCTGTGTACTCTGTAATCAACATGATGACACAGCTGTAGCCACTGCCCAGACTGTTCCACCTCCTTGCAAAACATCTACGTTCACAATATTCGAGGCCATGACTTTACACTGAACTTATACATATGGAATGAATCCTGAAAAGTAGATTACGAAAGTTGGCACTGTATTATACACACACTAACAGTATAAACAGAGGTCATCCCAGAAATAAACAGAAAGACCAACTCTAAGCTGAGAGCAGATGGAAATGTATTTGTAACCCTAGAAAAACAATTAGTCTACAAAGAAGAGTGAGATTTTAGATTCTCATGGCAAGGACCATGAAGAATACCATTTTTTGATGTGACACCATTTAGTCTAATAGAATATTATATTTGAGCATCCTGTTGCATTAGTTGCATTAGCTGTGGTAGTTGACCCACTAGCCACAACAGCATACAGAACCAATAAACATCCAACAAACATATACATTGCAACCAGCGCCAACACACAGAACACAGCAAAGACAGACATAAGAAAAAAGGCATGATACATTATTTTGCAATTATTTTAACATGGCTCCAATGTGGTTTTTTAAAAAGCTTTCAGACTTTCACATCTTATGCAAAATGAAGTATTACAATTCAGTACAGTAACTTAATGCCTGACATGGACCCATATGGACAAAACATGCTGTAATATATATGAAACAGAATAAGTTGAATTTAAGTAATAATCTATGATGTGTTGCATTTATAGGATTGTAATGCACACACACATGCACATTCACAGATATATGTAAGTCTAGTAGAAATTTACTGACATTTTTGAGTAAAATACTGGCTCCATCTTCAGGATCATTGAGTAAAAAAGGAAACAGCCTGTTTGGCTTATTCTTCTACCCTAAAGATGGGGGCAACACATTCCTTCAAAACATGGTGTGACATTCTAGAAGACAGTAACCTTCAAAAAGAAGAAGCTTATGAAGGTACGAATCGGAGTGAACTGGCTCAGGATAGCATCCAATGACACTTTCTGTGAACATAACTATGAGCCTACAAGTTCCACACAGACGAGGAATCTACTGACCATTTAAAGAATTACAAAGAGCTCAATGACAACTCTGTGCCACTGTGTCCAAACTGTAGAGGATTTCTGTCACAAGGCAGATGCCTATAACTCACTAGAAAGATCGCATGCAGCCAGCATGTGATAGTTGAAGTTCCTCTTGACCAGGATTCCTGATAATTTGTGCCCAGGCCTTGGTTTCTCCATGGCCAATGTCCCCATCACTTTTGCAGTCTTCTCCCCTCTGAAGTACAACTCCACGGCAACTGTGTTGCGTGGGTTATGCAGCTCCATCTTGGTGCTGGGGTCATCTTCATACTCTCGCTGGAGTGCAGCCTTCAGGCGACTCATTTCATTCTGCTCCCCATGGACTAATACCTGAATTCAGTGGTTAACTTCTCAGGATAAATTTACATGAATAAGTCAGTGACATACAGTGGCTATAACCCAGATGACACTACAAATTATTTGTATAAAACTGTATGGTTTAGAAAGTTATATATAATATTTATTGCATCTGTTCCTACAAGTTTAATGTCTCATATATTGCTAACAGTATTAGACAAAAATTATAGTAAATAAACAATTAACAATTATAACAGACATCACATCTTAATTATCTTGGATGTGACATCATCTTTAGCTGTTATAATGGTCTTAAAAATACATTTAACCTTATACTGTACTTAATAAATACCATCCCATCATAATATAATATGTTTTTAATGACCCAACATGTTTTGACCCTCAAAAGATCATCATCAGGGGTATAATTTATATTAATACTTAAGCAAAATCATTCAAGGCTTTAACATTGTTGTTCTATCATTTTAAAAAACCTTTACAATTATAAAAAGGATGGCAATATGTACATAGGTAAGTAAAAAATGATCTGCACTCTTCTTTTTTCCAATTTATATACACAAAAGCAGGGGCTGAACAAGTACGTCATTTTTCTACATAGTCTCCTTCCTTTTCGATGCACTTGGTCAGCGGTCCAGAAGCTTGCGTATTCCCTCCAAGAAGAAGGTTTTTGGTTGGTCGCGCAACCATTTATGCACTGCTTCCTGCACTTCTTTGTCCATAGAAAATCAACGACCTCGTAAAGCATCTTTGAGCGGACCAAAGAGATGATAGTCGGAAGGGGCGAGATCTGGGCTGTAGGCAGGATGTTCCAGCACCTCGAAACCCAAATGGTTAATGGTTTCAACAGTCTGGCCAGCCATGTGTGGGCATGCATTGTCATGCAACAACACTTTCTTCGACAACAGGCCTCGGTGTTTGGTGCGAATTGCTGGCTTCAGATTGTTGGCCAGCAAACACTGTATCTTGCACTGTTGATCGTACACCCTTTTTCCAGGTAGCCTTCCAGTATAGGCCCTTCTGAGTCCCAAAAAACGGTTAGCATCACCTTTCCCGCGGAAGATTGAGTCTTGAATTTCTTCTTTGTTGGCGATCTCAGATGTTTCCAAGCCATACCCTGGCTTTTGGATTCTGGCTCATAGTGATGGACCCACCAATGAATTTCAGCCCCTGACACACCTTCCAACCTGAGAAATCAGATCACTATTCTTTGTTAATCCTTGGTGCACAAGGCTAGCAGAGCAGCCATGTTTACACTGTCACAGCATCAAGGAAAATGATACGATCAAGGCCAAACTTCGATCACGTGGCCACAGTGGTACCAACTCTAAGCATGCATGTGCAGAAGGCAGTGTGACAAACCTAAAGATGTGTCATGGTGAAAGTGCGGATAATTTCTGGCTTTCCCTCATACTACTTAAGTCATCATGATAGAATTGGTAACACCCTTTCTCACCAGGGCCACCAGCCCTGCAGAAGTGGGAAATACAAAATTTCCTGTTCCTAGATGAAGGCTGCCAATTGCATAGTACTGGAAGATACAAAATCCCTGTTCCTAGACCATAACATTGGACTTCAGCAGATATGACCGATTAATAGCCCACATTAGAAATACAAGGAAAGAGGGAAAGGTAACTCAATATATGATTAGAAACATGGTGATACTCACACATACATGTCAATGTGAGGCAAGGATAATAAGGCAGAACAACAGAGATGAAAGACAGTCAACTTAAATGATAGACTTGAAAGGATTCTGATGATGGTGTATACTGTACTTCTTTTGGCTTATTTTGGACTTCACCCATCGTTGTTTCTACAGATCGGGGTTTGTCCAGTGATTGAGACTAGCTCTTTCTAAGGGGCCCAACTGAGTAGGTTTACCCTTCCCTATCCACCTGAAGATGGAGACAGATCCAGTCTCCGAACGTCGTGGTTTTTTTGTCTTTTATATACCGGACGATGGGTGAAGTCCAAAATAAGCCAAAAGAAGTAACTTAAATGATGTTTTTAAGATCAAGCAGCAAAATAAATTCCTCGAGTATCTTGTGGGGTGACAGAGTTTGGAATCACTGTCCCAAACCCTCTATAACGTCACTCCACTTACTACTGACCACATGTGGAGGCTTCAGGATCCTGATGAACTCGCTAGTCTGCTGGTAGTCAGTGTGAGCTGAGAACGATATATAATCCACAGACATTTTGAGAGGTAGCTTCTGCCCAGACATTGTGGTAATTTCTTCAGGTTCAGACAGGATTGTCTTTGCCAATGTTCCTTCCACACAGTAGCCAGCAATAATGACACCATTCTTTGAGTCTGTGCACCAGGACTCAAACAGCTCTCGAGACAACCCACTTTGCATCATACCTGGAGATGCCATTACTACACATGGTCCTATGTCCTCAAAGTGGTCAATACCCTGGAAAACAAAACACAAATCATAAAGTCCTTCAAATGAAGAGCAAATATGATTTTTGGGACAATCCCTAGAGTTTAATAATTTATTTGTGGTTATTCTCCCAACAGCTCAAAACAAGCAGTTTCAACAATAAGATGAACAGAGAATAATGAAGCAGGAAGGATGTGGACAGAAGAAGTTGAGGTACTATCCCAGCAACTGCCTGGAAGAGACTCAGACAAACTACCGAAAACATCAAAAGAATCCATCTCCAGACTGAGATTTGAACCCACACTTCTTGAATATGAACCAGAAATGTTATTCAGATGCCTGCAATGCTTGGTTGCTGTCCATTCAAGCACAGAATCTTATAAATAAAAAATCATTACCCCTTCTGACTACATAACCCATACTTTTGATGAGTTGACTCATGAGACTTTCTAATAGAAACATCAAACTGCCAGCGCCAAAGATTTTTAAATCATGAGTTTGCCTTCCAGTACAAAATAGGAAAAATTTACTTTGTCTTCCATTCAGTATTCTAAAAATATGACATTTTGGAAACAGATCCAGTTTCAAGAACATCATGTTCTTTAGAATACTGGACAATGGGTCAAGGGTCAAGCATCAGATTTAAGGATGTCTAGTACTAAACCATCATTCAAACCTATGACCTTACAAATACAAAGCTGAACTGCTATGAAATGAGTCCTGACATTCAGTTGAAAAACTCATATGCCTTACAGAATGGTGTTTGCAGAGGGAATGAGCCATATGATTGTCACTGGTGAGCAGCGGAACTGAGAAAAACCACAGGAAAGCCTTCCTGCATGACCTGGTATGTTGCTTTACAGTTCAGTGCTACATTACCTTCAGATTGGAAATGTGCCTAAACACAAATGGATTGTTGATTGCAATCTGACGTCGAATCTTATCGTTCATAGCATTCACGTAGGTTTGATACACAGCCATACACTTCTTTGCCAAAGAAGATGCATAGTAGATGGGAATGTCATGCAGTTCCGGATGCTGACTCCAGTACTCATCTGGAAGAGATGCAGATAACAAGAATTTGTTTTTACTCTGGTCTTCTGCAGTGTGCCCACTGCTTTCTTCAACAAGCACACACACTGGCAAACTGGTCAAAAGCGAGAAGTTGTACATCTGCCGGTGTAATGTATATTTTGACCTAGATGGTAAAATTGAACATAAGAGTACCGGAAAATATGTTTTTTGTAAGAAACACCCTGGTTGTGACAAAACAGTCTTGTAAACAGATATCAACATTTTCAAGAAACCCACTGCCTGTTTACTCAGGGTCAGCACAACACTTGTACAAAGTGACACTTCACTGTACATGTTCCTACCTACACTGCAGTTTGTCAGTTGGTTACATAACCAAATAATGACACTTACCTAGTATTAGCAGAAGTTCCTGAGCCCTGCCCAACGCGAACACAGGGATCAAGCATCTCCCACCTCGGTTCACGATATCGTGGACCAGGGCAGTGAACCGACTTTCACGCTCCTCACGCTTCTCATGAATGTGAGTGCCATATGTGGATTCCTGTAACAAAATGTCGCCATAAAAACTAATGGAAACAATGAGGAACTACAGCTCCAAAGTCTACACACAGGCTAGAAGCAGGCATTCTTGGCATTCAGTTTCTTTCCTTGTTAGTGTCACAATATACACTAGCCACCACTTCAGTCAAATTAAAAAATTAAAGTTTACTAAAAAAAAAAAACTGTGATTTTAGTCTGCAAGCGAACTATACCGACCGAGCGACCGCCGCTTGTCGGCGAAGTTTAGTGCCAACTTTTGCAGATAGAGGGTGCCACGTGGTCAGCGCAACGAATCCCCACGGCCGTTAATTTCGGTTTTCTAGACCGGAAAGTTTACTCAAACAATTAAAAGAAAAGTGTGGGAGGAAGATGAGGATTTAAATTGCATATAAAATTCTACATCAACATCTGCACATTGCTTAAACAGTTGTGGCTACCACACATCTTGGTAAGAGTATGAAGTGAATTTTGTATTGTTGGGTGTTCTCTGTTAGGTCCAGAGCAAGAAGTTGGGAAAGAGAGAAGTTACATTTCTGCTAACACTAAATGCTTTTAGGCTCTAACTGCACTTGGACACATTCTGGGGCACTTAAATCACTGTTCTTATTCTTGCCACCAGTTATGCTCCACTCAGCTTTCCTACCTGTATCCTAACTTCACAATGGCAAAAGAGTCCATGTCTGAAGTGGGGGCACCTATGAGCTATATTTTGCTACCTATGATGGCTGACACAGAGATTATTAGGTTGTCACTGATGATCGAACCTTGATGTTTAGATACAGTACAGTCTGATTACCCATACATGCAAAGGTAAAATTATCCTTGTCCATAAGCAAAATTTCATAAAGAGACATGGGGGAGTAGATGTATAGCTTCACCATTCTAAATCTCAGCAACAGATGGAAATGTGTGGTTAGCTTCATGTTCTTGCCACTTCAGCCCCGGAGGAACAGCCACTGGCACTGACTGCACAGACGGCTGGGGGGCCCCAAGGTTCAGTATGTATGCTATGGAGAAAAGAAAAACCTCTTGCTCCTGCTAGAAATTGAACCTTGATACCTTGGTCATTCAGCATGTAGACCAATCACTATACACAATTCAATTTTTGTTCCTTACAATATAATTCAAGCTAATACATGAAAATAAACCCTCAAGATATACGCCCTGATGACCCAAAACGACTGCAGCCTGTAGATGGTGGAGTGTAATATAATATTATGAGAAAGTAACAGTGGTCATGGCTCTAGTTCTTGCAATGATACACTCTGCTTGAGTAGCTACATGTTCTGCTTTTCAAGTTTCTCTGAAGTTATTGGTATTGGAAATACTAAGTAAATAATGGACAGACTTTATACCGTGATTAGAACATCTGGGTGAACGTTTGGTATTTCAGCAGCCATCAGATGTCTGTCCTCTTGTCGAGAGAAGTCCCCCGTGTACAGAATCTGAAGAACACAGCACAGATATGAGCAAGTGATATACATAACACTTGAGACCATGGGCAGTCTCATATTATAAAATACAAAACATTACCCAGCGTACAAGCAAAGCCCCACCCCAACAAAATTAATAACAACAAAAATTAATAAAAAATTTATATTTTTCAATTTACTATTTCTGTCATAAGAAACGAATTTCTTGTGTGATCTGTACCTTAACTCCCGCAATTTCAATCATAAACATGGCAGCTCCTAGGACATGTCCGGCATTGTACGCCCAAAACTTGATTCCAAACACATCTTTCTCTTCGTGGAAGTTTATAGTCTCAATCTTATCCATGCTACTTTCGAGGTCAGCCTCTGTGTACAGCATCTGCTCAGTTGCGATGTTGCTAACAAATACATTGTTGCCATAAGTACACACTTCAGTAACAACATTGTGACATGTTCCTCAATACAGCACACAAAAACAGAAGGAAAGAGGAAGAATGAAAGAAAAGTTACAAGGGAGCATGTTCATTTTCATCCATACTTCTCTATTTCCAAACCTCTTTCTCTGAGGTACAATATACTTTACCTCAAGCAACATACTGCACTTAAAAAAGGTAAAAATGAAGACAGTACAACAACTACATCAGGTGTGAAGGAAATATCACTATCAAGGTTCTTCATTAAGTTTGTTCAAAAGTTTGGTCTCGCTTTCTTAATAAATAGACATTTCAAATTACCAGTACAGTTCTGCCAATTCTGAACTTAGTACAGCTAGGGTAGTTCTGTCAGTAAAGTAACTAGGTTACTGTTTGGACAGTTTGTGAAGCATGGTATAATTATCCAAAGGCACAGATATTTTTCTTTTCCTCACAGCATTCAAACTGATACTGGGGCCCACCAAACCCCCAACCTAATGAGTACTGTGGGATCTTTCCCCAGGGATAAAGTACCCAGAGAATAAAACTCATCAGTAACCTTCACCTAGTGCCAAAGTTAAACATGCATAATTAAGCCCAGGCACAACTTTACTTTCACTTGTGTATAAATTTAGTTTTTAAGTTTGCTTTTCATAACAATTATTTTTTACAGTGAGGAGTTGTTAACAAAGAAAAACACAAACTTTAATTGATGCAAGTAAGGAGGTTGGTCTAGAAGTAAACACAGAGAAAACTAAGTATACGTTGCTGTCTCATCACAAAAAAAAAAAGGGGCAAAATCATGACATAAAGATAGGAAATAGATGTTTTGAAAAAGTGGCAAAGTTCAGATATTTTGAAATGATGATAACAAATCAAAACCTGATTCAGGAGGAAATTAAGAGGAGATTGAACTCGGGTATTGCTTGCTACCATTCAGTCCAGAACCTTTTGTCTTCTTGTCTGCTGTCCAAAAACATAAAAATTAGAATATACGAAACTATAATTTTGTCTGTGGTTCTGTATGGGTGTGAAACTTGGTCTCTGACATTAAGGGAGGAACATAGGCTGAATGTATCTGAGAACAGGGTGTTGAGAATATTTTGACCGAAGAGGGGTGAAGTGACAGGAAGTTGAGAAAACTGCATAATGAGGAGCTTCATAACTTGTACTCTTCTCCAAGTATAATTAGAATGATAAAGTCAAGGAGGATGAGATGGGCAGGGCATATAGTATGAATGGGGGAGACAAGGAATGTATATAGGATATTGGTGAGAAAGCCAGAAAGAAAGAGACCACTAGGAAGACCAAGACATAGGTGGGTGGACAATATTAAAATGGATCTTAAAGAGTTAGGACAGGATATGGATTGGATTGATCTGGCTCATGATAGGGACCAGTGGAAGGCTCTTGTGAACGCGGTAATGAACCTTCGGGTTCCATAATATGCTTGGAAATTCTTGAGTAGCTGAAAAATTGGTGGCTCCTCAAGAAGGGCTCAGCTCCAGGAGTGAGTACGTAAGTAAGTAAGTAAGTTTGGTTTTGATACCATTTTAATGAAGAGACATTTTGTATTATCAGTGCAACTCAGGTAACTTTAAACGTTAAAATATCAGATATTAGCCTAGGACACACACACACAGACCACTGACACTTCTGAATACCAGTGTTACCTGACTTTGATGTAATCCGATAGCAACCACCGATAAATAGCCTTCGTTGCATGAGTCATGAAGCAGCGCCCCTTGAAACTTGTTTTCTGCAGGAACCAAGGTAAAGCACCACAGTGATCAAGATGAAAGCTGTAACAAAGGTGCAGCTTATAATATGAAAAAACCCGTGCCATAACTCAAATTTTAATCAGGTGTTTAAGGAAGTTGAAAACTTACTGTGATATAAGCAACAAATCTATTTCATCTGCTTCAATAAGATCCACAAATGGTAAAGCATCCATTCCAGATAATCCTGGGTGAATACCACAGTCAAGCTGAAAGAAACAGAACAGTTCCTAATTTTTGCTGCAACAATAATTTGCTTGAAACAAACTAGGTTAATTATTAACTAACTAATGGTCAAGAAATTCATCACCTGAACCTGAAGCTTCATTACTGTGTTCAGAAGGGACTGCCACTGGACCATATACCAAGCCAGCTGAATCTGATTCATGCCATCATACTATAAAGTAACAGTTGTCCCTGTGCTTAACTAATTAAGTACTATGCCATGAAGGTGGATGCGGGATTGGATGATGGATCCAAATTTTCTTGACCTCAGCATTAGTTAGAGGTAAGTGATCAGCTTCCTGCCACTTCCACTTTACCCCTGGGGAAAGAGTCCCTGGTACCCATTGGATGGGAGCCTGGGTGGACCCCAGAATTGGTCTGGACAATGTGGAGAAGAGTAAATTCTCGACCTTATCAGGACTCAAACTCCAACCCCTCGGTTTTCCAACCCATAGGCAGTTGCTATACTGACTACGATATCCCGGCTCCTACACCCTCATAATATATCGTGCTTTAAAAATCTTCACAAAATATTAAAAACAAATGACAAATTGGAGAACGATATAACATTTACCAATCTTCAGAGTTAAAATTTGTTTGACTTACAGTTCCTTGCAGTCTATTTTCAAGAAATGATCACAAATGTTTGACTGAGAAACTTCATGGCAAAGGGCACTTGGGAAACACAGGAATAAATGGATTACACTTTATTAACATTATATTACAAAACTTGACTTACAAATTCCACTGGCCATACTCGTTTAGTTAACAGTAGTCCTGTCTATTTAAAACTCTGCGAAATGTCACCACCAAGGGTGTACACGAGATACACTAAAGGTTTAGAGCTAAAAGGATAGTTTTACACATTACGACATAAATTTTGTTTGCAAAAAATCCATAAACATTTTTGGCGCTAAACACGTACCATTATTTTCTTTCCTTTAAACTCCAGCATAATGCATGATCGCCCAACCTCCTGGCCAGCACCTCTGCAATAGAAAGTGAGGTTAGGGTCTAACAATGTTTTTTTTTAAATACTAATATTATTACAATTTATAGTTTGCATATTATAGTAATATTGACATACAAAGGACGAATGAGTAGTAGGTCACTTTCTTCTGCAGGTACTTGGGAGTCGGGCTTCTTTCTAGCTGACATTTTTCTATTTGCAACAAACTTATATCATAAACAAGCGCGCAGCACGCGTGTGTAGTGCAAATTTCAATCGTGTAAATCTACGAAACGCACGGATGGCACGGATCCTAGATGAAAATCGATAAAGTCCGTGCCGAATCACGAGGATCACGAGCAACACGAGTAATCGTAACGTGTAAATTCAACGAAAAACTAAATAATGGAAGGTCTAATAAAAGCTGGAGAAAATCACCTCCCTCCCAAACCTGCACCTAAACCAGGTATTTATTTACTTTTATGCTTTGCTTTCAATTTTGTAAATAGGATTAAATGTCTGTGGTAAACCTTAGCAGAACGTGTGCCAATTACATAAATAAATATAGTTTGACAATCAGCAAAATTGTCACGACAGAATTCATTGTTTGATTCCTTGTACTGTGTGTCAGTTCATAGTACAAAACGCATATTATGTGGTATACTACAGTCTACTGGGAAGCAACATTCTACTACACAGGGATTCATATTTTCAGAATTAATTATGGATTGGAATTGGTAAGCACTATAAAGGCTGAAATGATACTGTTGCTGACATGATTTTAAGTATCGATATTTTATAAAAGTGACACATTAACATATCATCTTAATACAAAAAGAAACTATTAAAATTCCTTGTGTTTGACTATATGCATGTACACCTGATGATGGCTGAAATTTGATGGGTAAATAAAATGATTAAACATGGAAGAATTATATTTGATGTCTTTAGCTCAGTCGGTTTAGTGACGGTACAGGCTGGACAGCTGGGCTTCGATTCCTGCCAGGGCAAGAGATATTTCTCTTCTCCACAGTGTCCAGCCTCCCATACCATGGGTACCAGAGGAATGTTTCCCTGGGGTGTAAAGCAGCCATGTTATGAAACAGACTGCTCACCTCCATCTAGTGCCAAGGTCACTAATGGTGGAGCTGTTCCTCCATTCTCCCATACATGTTCATAGTGTGATAATTAAGAACAGGGACAACTTTATTGTCATCACTGCATAGAATATTGCATCAAAATTGTCTCGCATGTTCTGCCACTTCATAAATGCTGAATTCTGGAATGAAATTTGAGGGTCTTTGACAGTGAATATTAAACTTATAATCTTCTGGATGTGACACCCTATACTGTGGTAGATAGGCAGTAAACTGTGTTGCGTAACATACCAGAAGACTATGATCTTAATATTGAAATGGTAGAATCTTGAAACTGGATATTGTATGTTACAGGCCGGGTAAGAGTAGTGAGGGCTCTCTACAAGTACACAGCACAGTATGTAAGTACAGTTACATTATCTGAATATGATCAAGCTGCAAGCTTGCATTCATTTCATTTATTTCACTTTCATATCTCATTGTTGTAGCCGGATGAGTTGTCATTTCAAGAGGGAGACTTGCTGTACGTATTTGATGAAGTGACAGACCCAGATTGGTGGAAAGCTCGGTGTGGAAATCAGACAGGCCTCATACCAAGCAACTATGGTACAGTACAAACAATATGGCAGACCCAGAGGTTGTAACACAGATATTCACTGTTCTGTATGGAAATGAGATAAACACAAGATTTGAAGGAGATGACGGATATTTGAAGAGGTCTGGCTTATAATGTAATGTAGTCATTTGAAAGTCAACTGACATTCCAGAGGAACATGTCACCTCCATTGTCAAGGATGAAATGGAAGCAAGCAAAAAAAGGGCATGAAACAGGCAGCAAGAAGTTGGAGGGCAACATATTCCCCTGAAATGTTGGTGGATTTTCGACAGACTACAGAGCGTTACATCCCAGAAGAAAGAACTCTCCATAACCACTGCTGTGAGAACCTTGCGTTACATAGTAGACAGTTGATTTATACTAAGAAGTTCCTCAGTAAAGAAACAATAAAACTCTATGTGCTCTTTTCTGTATATGTCTTTAAGAAATATGGTAGGCACCTCCCTGCCTTTAGTCCTCGCTTTGATCATAAGAACAATTGTCTTTATAAACCCAAGGAGTATGTCAAACCTAATAGTTAAATGGCAGTGGAGGATATTGCGCAGTAATCTTCACATAATACTGCTACAAAACTTAAATGAGGGAGGCTAGCAGGTTGGTGTAATGGTACTTTGCCTGTCTTCTATTTGAAAGATACTCAATTAAAATCTTAGCCAAGTTGCTGGCAACTCTGAATTACATTTTCCATGGATTTCCTGTTTCTATACAAATATCAGGCTAATACTTTGACCAATATTGTTTCCTCCCAGATCCCTAGCTCCTTATTCATATTCATTGCCCCATCTCATTTGTCACTGTCTGCAGCTGACATATTCAGTCAGTCCTAAATGAAGGCAGTTATGTAGGGTTAGACAAAGTGCCATGAATTGGAGTAACACAGAAATACAGAATTTTATGGGGGAAACCTTTTGTCTGAAATTGAGGTGGAAAGCCAAAAATTGATCTTAACCCTTTCCATGCTACAGGCAAAACTTTTCAGCGCGAATCATCAGTACTGAAACAATGAATATCTTTTGTATGTGACAGCATAAATTAAAATGAATTTTCTGGCATCCCCTAATATGTAAAGCCAGTTTTCATCAATAAAAATTACAATCAAGCACGCATTTATTTTCTAAATAGAACTTGACAGAGAAAGAGTTGAGAAGATAGGGACTGGATTAAACTGGCTTATGCTAAAATCAAATTTAAAGCTTTGATTTCAAATCTGAGAGTTTTGTTATCATAGTATTATTAAAGGTAAAGGTAAAAAATATAAAGGTATCCCTGTAACAGGCTGTGAAGGCCCATAGGGTTGAGAGCGATCGAGGCTCCCACATTATCTAGACAATCAGCTCATAGATGGCGGCAAGGTTGTCAGCTTTACGCACCAGTCGTCCTTTAACCCCAGGAAGTTGTGGTAGCATAGTTCGTTCAGGCACTATGCTACAAGCCAGAAGGTTATGGGTTCAAATCCTGATGAGGTCATTGGATTTTTTTTTTCAATTTACCTAATCCTTCCAGTCACACTAGGCCCTGGGGCTCAGTCAGCCTCTAACAGAAATGAGTATCAGGAATCATAGTATTATTAGGTATGAAAACTAATATACTTTATGGGACAAGTGTAATGAACACAGTCAGGCTTGCTCAGTTTCTGGACTTTATCCCTTGTCAGAGTGTTTTGGAAACTGGATTTGTTTCTGTCCTCAGGTGAAGAGGTGGGGAAGCACTTACTCAGTTGGGTCCAGCAGTTGAGCTTACCTCTTTCTAATGGAGCCAACTGATGAGGTGCTCCTCATCCTTTTTGCCTGAGGATAAGAACAGATCCTGTTTCCAGGACACTAGATGATGGCCAGTAATTCCCACTGAAATATACCATGATTACAATTCAGGTTTTGTGAGACTGCAACACAGTTGGATGTGGCATTGTTCCAGTGGAGAGTCAGACAGAAGAAGTGGAGCAGCCCCTCCATGAGGCAGCTCGGAGAGGAAACCTGGACTTCATGCGACAGTGCCTACAGCAGGGAGTGTCTGGCACTGGGCTGGACAGTGCAGGAAACACTCCACTGTACTGGGCTTCGCATGCAGGACATCTTGATTGTGTCAGAGAGTTACTGGCGCTCCCCAGGCCCGCAGTCAATGCTCAGGTGAGTGATGTACTCATAAGCCAGGTGTTACTAGATGGAACCGAGGAAGTACAGTGAAATCCCCATTTAAGGTTTCTTTTGAGAGCAGCGGATATGAACACTAAATTGAGGAAAATCTTAAACTTAACAACGCTATTACTGAGTTGGAGTTACTTTACTTTAAATTGACGAACATTAAATGGGGGTTCCACTGTATACAAAGCAGTTCAGATGTGACACGCCATTCTCCAGGTGGCATATAATTTATGTAAGGGCTTGGTGGTCTCAGTGAAAGTCACTAAGCCCTCATTACAAGGACTCCCAAGTTCAATCCCTGGGAGATCTATGTGTGGATTTTTCTTATCACAGATTAAAATCTTCACCTCTGCCAACAAACTTCAGGAATGTGAAGAATATCTACCCCTCTTGTAGCTTGCGGCTTCTGTTAACCACCAGACTCATGATCAGCCTGTCATTGGGGGTGTAACCCAATCCACCTTATGATTGCTGCAAACTCAGCATTGGGTTGTACACCCTTGTCGAAGGTGGGCAGAGGCCATGAAAGTCAACACTGACCAAACCTGGAGCCACTGGACAATATATCATTTATATTACATGGGCTGCATTGTTTTTTACAGACAGTTTGCAAGTTATCATAAGGGATAGCCTGTATGCATTCCCTGCTGATGCTGTGTAGCTATCTAGACATTTCTGCTGTGAGTCACAGTCAATTTATGATAGTATTCATGCTCTTTTATCTCAGCTGTGCATATTCAAACATGTGGCCTGTATCCATATGGTCAGTATTTCCCTTTTCTCCTCTGGTTTTGGAAGACCATGTTCATGTTTTATTCACATCCCATTTGACCTGTATATGATTTTCAGAGTAAAAGGACTGTATAAGCCTGAAAGAAATCTTAATTTGTGCTGGCAATGTTCTATTTCCAAAGAATGTCCTTGGCGACACACCTCTGCATGTAGCCGCGTCTCGTGGGCACTTAGAAGTCGTAGAGCTTCTGCTTAGCCATGGTGGAGATCCACAACTCCGCAACAAGGACCACAAAACACCTGTAGATCTGGCACTATTCTCACCCATTGTCAACTTGCTGCAGATGAGCATGTTGGGTCAGCAACGCAAAAGCATAGTCACATATGATGCAGATGAGTATGCCGGTGACTCAGACTGATTTGTACTCTTACACTATGTTTATTGTAAGCATACTTACTTGCAAACAGCAGTATTAACAGTCCTTGCCCCATACCATAAATGCAGGAACTCAGGTTTAACATTTATCATCAAGGAAGAGGCCACTGTAAGTACTGACTGCTGCAGTGCTGGTAGCCTGATTTAGCGGGGAGAGGTTATTTTTTATGGTCATTGAAAATTGTGACTGTGGGCCTGCCAGACCTGCACATGCTGTCAAGAAACTGCAACCCATGACAATAAAAGGTTAAATGTAGGTAAGGCAGCGAAGAACACAGACCCTCTGACAGAAGATTCAAACTTCTGGAATGTGACACTGTGTAGTCATTAGCTATTTACACACGTTTTGGAAGAACCTGCTGCTTCCTTCATCTTTATAATAGAAGAGTTTGCTATTCAGGGAAATGCAGTCAGTGATATGGGGAAGGGAGGACAAAGACTGGCGCATAGAAGGATGCAGTTTCAGGGCCAGCCTTAGAAATAGGTAAAATGTAAAGAAGTTGAAGAAAATAAATAGACAGCACTACTGGAATCTTAGCAACTTACTCTTCCACCCTGAAGATGGAGGTAGCAAGTTCCTCTGAAACATTGGTAAATATCTACAAGACTACATGGTGTCACATCCCAGAAAACAGTAGTCCTGATAATCACTGCTGTGAGAACCTGATAATCTCAAAATGTTTTGAGTTATTGTGGGCTTTTAGGCTCTACCTGCCCATGGCATTCTGGCAGGAATAAATAGTTTTATATAGGCTCTGGTCTTATAAGCAGAAATGCTGGTTATGTCATCAGCGACAGTGGAAGCTACATTTGGAGGAGTTTATGGATACAAACTCTCACTGCACTCTCTGGGACAATACACATTTATTTTCACAGCCTTAAGCTTTCACTACCTGTATCTAATGTGTATTTATGGCTTTCATGGTTTAGCTGCATCATGTGTCAGGTTGTTTATTTGCCCTGGAAATGGTGACTGCAATGTATGCCAAAATTTCAGCAGTGTTAACATGACATGATTAAACCCTGGAAGCCATATATATATTCCATTCTGCCTTTCTAGGATGGGATTTCCTGTGTTTTATGGAAATCTTTGTTTTACAGCCATTTTAGTATATATGCAAAATAACATCTGCACCTGGCACATTATCCCAGTCAGACCAGTGACTCTGTACAACAGAAAAATTGAAAATTCCAATAAATTTGAATATACTGAATATCAGTCTGATATTGAAAATTGTGTTATCACCCACCATTTTCAAGGGAAAGAATTGGAAGCCAATGTTCAACAAGCTCTAAGGCAGATGGACAAATAGTGGTGCTTCAACCAATCAGTTCCCAACTTTATAATCTCCTGGCCACTGGCTGAGTGACATTTGGCACTATATTAATTAACAGGTGTATACTATCAAGACTCCCCAAGTCACATATTTGTGAAATGTTATACATTTTTGTATTTCTCAAAGAAATCACAAATGTAGTATTCCAAAGATGATGATGGGCGATTTTTAATATGATTTTCTTAATTTGCACAAAAGAGTACACTGAAATCTTCCAACTCTTTTATTTTTATTTGTTATGTAACTTACATTTTTGTATTTATATTAAACTTCTGTCTCTAATGCAGATGGTAAATCTAATTTCAGAGAACTATTTGTATTTGTAAATATTTTTATGAAAATAAAATGATTAATCAAACTGTTATTACAATTATTTATTGAGATAAGTATTATATACGTATATAAATATAAAGAAGTGTGTCCCTCCACACGAAGGTAAAACCTATCCTCAAACTGGCAGGAAAAATTATGCTTCTTGCTATAGAAGTAATTTGTAAAACACAGACCCCATCTACAGACACACTTTTAAGACTTACCCAGTAAAGCCCTGTTCATTAAAGTACTGGCACCTGTATTCAGAGCAAGGAAACAAACTTTTGTTGGCAGCAACTTCATGACTAGAGAAATGGTACATCTGAACATCACCTCCTCATTCTGGTGGAGGAGGTGAGTTTCTAAAACTCATAAAATATTAAATCAAGGTGAACAGAGCTCACCAGAGCAAGGGACTTGCTGTTGGAGTGTCACCCATCCACCTCAATGTAAAACGCTTAAAAATCAGGTTTAGACACACTTGGTGCTGATATTCCATTGCTTTAGAGCACACAGGACACCAGTCAGCTTGGCACACCACTCTGACAGCTCCTCAGTAGAGTCAGCTTGCCACAAGTACCTACATTGAGAACAACAAACCAGAAGCTGATATATTCAATCCAATTGTAATCCCTCATGAGTATCTTTCTAAAGTGCAGGGATAGAGAATCTCCTTGCTTCCCACCATTATTAACAGGAAACACACTAGGTAAGTTAACAGGTAAGATTAGTGGTTCTCACTGCAGTGATTATGAGGAGACAGTAACTTCATTTCAGTGGTTCACATGGTGTTACATCCCAGATACTCCAGATAAATTAATAGTTTACCTGTGCAGACTGTACTGTACATCTCCTTTAAACACTTACCAATTAGCGGTCTCCGTAGTCTAGGGGTAACGTTCCCACCTCATGACTCAAGGTACGCGTGTTCAAACCCGATGGAGGTCGTGGAATTTTTAAGGGTGGGAAAATTCAGGGAATAAGTCCTCCGGGAGGGACTTTAAGCCATGGGTCCCGTTTAGTAGATTTACAGCACGTAAAAGATCCTCATGTCTCTAGGAGACCTCTGAGCAAAATTAGGCAAACTGTTTCCCACCCAAGTAGTTTCCAATGCCTCTGGTAGAGGGGGAAGTTATCGGGTACCAATGCCAGTAGAGGGCTGACCTCACTGGCAGAAAGGGGAGAATTATCGGGTACCACTGCCAGTAGAGGGCCGACCTCGCTGGCAGAAAGGGGAGATAGCGGGCACCAGTATCGGTAGGGTATGGAGACAGTAGAAATTAAAGGGGGACGTACAATAGACTATTAGTCACGGTGCATGGGGAAACCCACCCCCTCCATACTGAATAACTGAACATTTATCAATTATTATAATTTGCATCCTTGTTGACTGTCCAATATTCTAATACAGAACACAACATTTCAAGACCTGGATCTGCTCCCATCCTTAAGAAAATGTTTTGCCTGTGTAGCTGATCTCTGTAGAATAAATGAATAACCAAAATAGTGAACAAACACAACAGCTCAAAATGGAATTAAAAAAAAAGTAATAACAAGAATCATTCAACACTTCCACAAGACTTGTTAACGTATGACTGCAACACTAGCATCTCACCATGGAGGCCTAGATGCAATCCCAGGACAGTACATGTGGGCTCTATGTCGGGTGAACTTGCACTGGTTGCACTGGACCAGGTTTTCTCATACTAAACATCATTCTGCTAGTGCTCCATGCACATATGTCATCAGGGGCTGGTACAATAGGCCCATCTAAGGCCACAGTACTAAGGGACTCGGTCTCACCCCACTCCAGCTGGCTGACTAGGTTAATATATTTGAAACACATTTAATTTTCCATCTTAAAGTTCCTGCTCCATGTATATCCATATGTTGGGATTTTAAATTCCCTGTTATTGTTGAGCTGGCAGCCGTGTTTTAACGCAGGTGACAATATCAGTACTGAAGAATATAAAATGGACACTTTGGCAATGCACCCATACAATGTCAATGCATGGTGAATGAAGACTAATACTGGACCAGACTTGAAACACACCTGGTTATTGTGTCCTGTGTGTTGCAGTCTTCTGCATTTGACTGCCTGCCCATTTCCAGGAGCAATGTCCGAGGCCTTGGACACACAGCCCTGTCAACAGGACTAACATGCTGTGACACACTGAGGCGCAGATCCACTTCCCCCACTGGTGGCTGCAAGTATAACCACATTTAAATCTTCACTCTGTAGTCTATGTCCTTTCTGAAAAGATTGGCTGCGCATTTGGAACAGATCACAACACTTTTCTAAAACAAACAAATATAGCTGCATCTTAATATGCTGTATATTTTTGATAATTTACACCACATTGTCACAGAAACTATCCATCATTACATATTTCTTTTGGTGATATCTGAATTTCTCATGGTGGTGAATATCAAGATTATGGTCTTCTGGTATGTGACACCATGCAGACTGGCAAATAGTACCAGCAATCTGGAAGAACCTTTGTCCTCCATCTTCCTTTGCTCTGAAGATGGTAGCAGGAGGCTCCACCAAAAACAGTGGTAATTATCTACTAAACTACACAGCATGACATCCCAAAATTACATAAACATAAGCCCTTTGTACTTTGCTTTCTCCGAAGACATTCAAACTGGGAATTTGGTAACATCAGTACTTGTGCATAAGCACCACACCATGAAGATATATGGAAAAGTGGAGGTAAAGTTCCACACATCCTAAACCTTAGCACCAAATGGAGAGGTGAGTGGTGAACTCCATGCTCTACTCACTTTAGCCCCAAGGAAAGAGCCCAAAGAAACAGACTGGATAGGACATTGGGTGGGCCACACAGCAAAGATACAAATACCACCCAACAACCAACCAGCACACTGGAAGACATTGTTCATGTCCAACAGCTTCAAAACAAGTAACATCAAGTCACATTGCAGTTCACCATTTGTGCTCCATATGTGATCATTAAGCAAAAGTAACACCCACAGCACTCAAGTTAGGAGTTGCAGTGATTACCTTATCAATCTGATCATGAGGATAGTCCCAGTAGCTAACCATGTGACCTCTAAGACAGAACCAGCGTCTCTGCCAAAATTCAAGAGTTTCCATCATGGACAGGAATCCAGAGTACTCTACCCAAAGCTCCAGAGAGCTGTGCAGAACCATGGTGACATCACCGGTGAGTGGCGATGACAGTGGAACCTACACAGTTCACATCAGCCTGAAAACTGGTTATCCCACCTCAGGAATTTTTTAGTTTCTCTCAAGTTCCTTCAGACAAATGCCAGGAGAGTACCTCAAATTAGACTACAGCTGCTTCCTTCCACATTTTTCATTAATCATCATACATGATCTGAACTACTAATAACATCACTAAATAAACAAAACTGATATTTTACTAGCTGTGAAATGAGGTCTTACACTGAGCAAGATTATAGATCAGAAACAATGGGACACAAATTCTATTTGGACATAAAAGGGATGGCTAAAGTAGAAGAATTTAGGGAATTAAATAGAAAATAACTTTTCATTTATATTATTCCCTGAATTTGTTGAAATGAAGGATAGGAAGGAGGAAACATTCCTAATATTGAGGAAAAATACAAACACAGAGGAGAGTACAGAAAGAGTGAGCATATATGTACCACATACTTAAATATTAAAAAAAAAAATTGCATTTTGCCCACACAGTGTATTTACATGTTTCATGTGATTCCCAATACAATGATTAATTCCTTANACAGAGGAGAGTACAGAAAGAGTGAGCATATATGTACCACATACTTCAATATTAAAAAAAAAAATTGCATTTTGCCCACACAGTGTTAACAACATTAACCATTTGGTTTTATAATGGAGATGCAATGTATTCCCTGTGGTGTAGGGACTGTATCTTTAAATATTTACCTGTCTCTCAGGCTTAAAAGGATTATTAGAGTTCAGTGACATTCATATTCTTAGAACAGCTGTCTACGACATATGCTGCAGGAAGAAACAACGTTAAGCCATTGAGATCCCAGAAGAGGACATGACATATGATTACACACCTTATTCAGGACCCAGGCAGGCTGTTGGTGTAGGTCTGGCAGTTTCAAGTCCAGGCTGCCTATCAGACTGAACGATGTGGTGCGGATAGACTGGGTCTTGACAGTCTTCATGTATGGTGAGAAGTCAAGTTCTATGTCCCTGTGGTGTAACTTAAATGGAACTGGACACATGTGATGCCTCTGAAAACAGTGTGAGAATGTTCCAGAGTCATGGGTAAGGAAGTTGAACTCATGGCACACAGCACCTCGATAGTTGGTATGCTGCAGACAAGACAAAGTGTTACACAGAACAAAAACAAAATACAGATCAGAACAAGAACCAGATGTAGCCCAGAACGAGAACTGAATGTAGATCGGGGGGTGGGAGGTAAAGCTAGCTCTGTAACAGGCCATGGAAGCCCATAGGGCTGTGAGATGTCCTGGTTCCCACATTTTCTAGATAATCAGCTCACAGATGGTGGTGAGGTTGTCAGCCTTACATGCCAGCTGCCTTTTACTGGCAGGAAGATTCCTGGTATCCATTTCTGTTAGAGGCTGAGTCAACCCCAGAGCCATAGTGTGGTTGGAAGAATTAGGTCAATTGAAAACTCCAGTGACCTCATCAAGAATTGAACCCACAACTTTCCAGCTTGTAGCGTAGTGCATCAACCAATGCTACTGCATGCCCCCAAATGTAGCTCATAACAAAAATCAAATATAATTCAGAACAAAGACAAATTGTACCTCAGAATAAGAACAAATTGTAGCTCAGAACAGAAGAAGATATAACAACATCATTACAACTCTGTATGAAAACCTGTTTGTTTGCACTTACCTGCCGCCCAATGTGGTACCGCTCCTCATAAGGCAGTGTCACTTTTCGCAGCCGCAGACTGTACACTTCCAGCGTTATCACAAAATCTTTAGGGAGGCCAACAAATCGAAAAGACTCCATGAAGTTGAGTCTGTTGTCCTTCTGGATCTGTGTTGCCCGTGTTGCAAACACATGTTGCCCATGCAATGCAGTACACACAAACCAGAACACAGAGTCCTCTACAACCAAATTGCAATGCCAACCATTGTCAACATAACAATAGTCATACTATAGTATTACAGTCTAGATGGAGGAAAAGAGAAGTGTGAAATATTTACAGAGATATTGGGTTTTCGGACTTATCCATCGTCCTGGTTTTTTTAAGATAACTAAGAAATACACGACGTTTCGGAAACTGGATCTGTTTCCATCCTCAGGTGAGGGAAAAACACCTATTCTGTTGGGTCCCTTAGAAAGAGCTAGCCTCAATCACCCAACAGAATAGGTGTTTTTCCCTCACCTGAGGACGGAAACAGATCCAGTTTCTGAAACGTCGTGTTTTTCTTAGTTATCTTAAAACCAGGACAATGGATAAAGTCCGAAAACCTAATATCTCTGTGTGTTATACACCATTGTCAGAATCCTATAGTAACTACTTGTGAAATATTTAGCTCGTGTATTCATTTCTGAGTGAGGACACTTTGTTGATGATGCCCATGTATGGCCAAAACATGTTGTGAACAAAGAATTAAAGGGACTACAAACTTTAATTGCATTAGTGATGGAAATATATATTGTATGAAATAATTTATATATTGGTGCAATAGGATACTTAAATACAATGCCTTATTGTAGCAGCCTGGTTCCTCAGCACTCTGGAGAAATTAGTAATCCCTGCTTACAGGACAAAGTAATTAAAAGCAGACCAAGCCTTTATATTAGTTGATCAGTACTATGAACCTGCAGGGAATTCTTGTTTTCTTATTATTGTTCTCAAAATGTATATGTCACCAATGAGAACTAACATTTAAACTAAATTTTGGAATATTTGGGTCATTATACTTTACAGACAAGAAAATAGCTACATTACAAACTATTACAAATGTGAGATCTGAGGTTGTAACGGTGATGAGTATTAGGATCATTTTCTTTTGGATGTTATGCCATATCAGGTGCAGAGGTACTGTCATTTTATAGGAACCTGCTGTCCCCATCTTCAGGATAGGAAAAGTGTTTCAAGCGCACACATCACATTTGAGTGGACAATAATCTTAACCTTTAGAACCTGACACAAATATTAGCCATAATTCCATACAGTCCTCAAGTCTAGGTTCATCAAAACAAAGTGCACCAGCACACAAATATCAATCAGTCACATCCAGATGTAATTCTATAGCAGTATTTCAGGCATATGTATCATTGGGATGCTTTGTCAATGATTCCAAAGTCATCTAACTTATTTCTTTAACTTCAACTACTGTATTATTGCTAAATATTCTGAATAACTAGATATGTGCAAGAATGACTTTTCCAGTTAAAGATGATAATTTTGAACATTTTGAGGAACAAGGTACGAATGAGAAATTTCTCTACTCCATCAATTTTTTCACTGTATTCACGATTTATAGTATATTAAATGAGTAATGAAAGTGTATCACTTTTTCTTTTTCATTTCAGATCCTTCTGTAATGAAAAACTTTTCATAAACCATTTATTTGCAAACATTCTTTTCTAGTGCAGTGTCCTTTTTACCCATGGGTAGTAAGAGGAAGAGAAAGCACAATAGACCATTGAAGGTCGCAGTGCTAGGGCCAGTTTTATGGCTCACCCCTCGTACTCATACTCAAGAGGAAGGGAGGAACATATTTTTGTTGACAGTTGATTCATGGTAATGCTGTTGACCATTATGATCCAGATGGACCTGGGTAATTTGTGTGCTACTGTGCAATGCAAAATACGGTGACTTGATTTTGAAAATTTGAGATTTGCACATACATGTTGAATATATACATTTTGAACTAAGTGACGCAGTGGAAACACTTCCCTTACTTCAGATTAGGGATATGTTGCCTATTAGATGGTCATTACTGATTTGCATACATCTTTGGGCAGTACATACAATCAGCTTAGTGGACTTGCCTGAATTTATGATGTGCAAGGATTCTTCCTTTAGAGAAAGTGAGATACTGCTGATAGTCACAGTGCCCCGCTCACTGACTTCACACTCAGTTCTCTTGTCCTGAACATGCTCTATCTCTTTAAGCGCAGCCTGACATCTACAGCCTGCATGGAGAATTGAACATTAATAATGCTGGCTGTGTATGTCAACTCAGTACTGTAACCATCTTCAAAACATCTTTGAGGGTGGGTCATCACTAGATAGTGACATAGATCATTACAACATAATCAGAAAATTATTAAATACTATTTTCAACATAGAATGTAAATTAAATTCATCATGCCAGAGACCTGATTGAAAACAATGACTTCTCCTCCATAAGTTTGCCCACTTAATGTATGATGTTAAGGGTCGTGCCATAGCTCAAGCGGTTAGTTGCTGGCTTCCCACTGTGGTGGCCCAGGTTTGATCCCGTGTCTGGTCAAGTGGGATTTGTGGCGGACAAACTGGCGCTGAGGCAGGTTTTCTCTGAGTACTTCAGTTTCCGCCGCCAATCTTCACTCCACCAATTGCTCCACAATCACCCTCACCTATCATCTGGGGCTGGTACACTAGGCCACAAGTGGCCGCAGTACAAGGGACTTAGTCCCGCCCCACTAGCATTAAAAAAAAAAAATGCATTAATGTATGATGTTCCCTTAGAGATGTTTAAGATGAAGATACGTCAGATGGTGTTTCTTATCAACTTAACTCAAAAAGTGCAGAATACAAGTAAACACTGAACACAGTACATTGACTTTGCAGTGTATTCCAAAATAAATAACAAACACAATATTCAGAAATATTTACTACTTATAGAATAGTTTTATGTAAATTCTCTGCAGTCACCTTAAAATATTGCTTCCTGGCATTAAAAACAGTTACCTTGACAGGTATTTTGTGTACAATTTGCAGCTTTCAGAGAGATTGCATGGAATGAAGTCTTCTCGGGCATCAGTCATGTCAGTGTGGAGTTGGCGTCTGACATTTCAGAGACTGTTTCCATCTCCATCTTTAGGGGTTAATGTGATAAGTGTCACATCTATATGTTGTATTTACATCACAAAGTAGCAGTGCAGTCTGAGGCACCCAAAAACACACATTGCAGTATAAATACAATGTGAAGACCTAACACTGATCACATCAAACCCTGATGACAGTCCCGAAAATGTCGAATACTATCCCCACATTGAATGATTGCACAAGAAGACTGCACTGCATCTGTTTTGTGGTTTTCCGCATTTCTTCCAGGAAAATTTTATGACAATATCTTGAAATACGACATGACAGCTTCGACTTTTACCCTGCATTCATGATCATCTTCCCATTCATCACTATATAATCTACTATATGAAGCTGAAATCTCATCTATACCTCCTCTATTCATTATCTTTTAAGGCTTCCACACATAAATTGGATATTCTATTTCAGTATTCACATCATCATGAAAAGCTGAAACAGCTCAGTCAACATAGTGACTAGACAGTGGGCTAGACAACCAGGCAATCAGGATTCAATTCCTGTCAGAGGCAAAGACCTTACACCTCTCCAACCTCCTGTCTAGTGGATACTGGGGTTCCCTTCTGGGATAAAGCTGTCAGGGTATGACTCAAGGTTAAGAATATGCAGAGCTGTATATCCATTCCCCCATGTGGCTTAATGACATAGTTCTTAATTAGTAACAAGAACAATTTCACTTTCATACATTTATATCTTCATTGTGTGCAAGTGATTTTTTGTGGGTTGCTTTACAATGCCCTCAGTATCTAGACTATATGCTGAACTAGATTGTATTGTATTGTATTGTATTTTATTTTCATCCGTTTTGCTACATAGTAACATTTGGACACGTCATTCATAATATAAGTTAACAAAATAAATCTACATAGTTACAAGCATACTAGGAACTATATTGATTGATTTATCCAGGAGTACAACTTAACAAACAAACATGATGATGTCCAAATCATGACTCATCGCTCCTAATTTAACACTCCTGAGGATATTTATTTTAATTTGACACTAAATGACTCCTAGACTTCAAAGAACATGGGTATCAACTCATATATCAATTTATCTTACTTTCAAACATGACAATTTTCCATGATGTTTCCTGCCACGCATGTACACACACATAGACTAGCATGACTGAGATGACTGATAGGCTGGAAATGATTTGGAAGGGAGCAGTCATGGCCTAGTGGAGCTACTGCCCCAGAATTTTCCTGGAGGGACTGAGGAAAACCACAAAAACCCTCAGTTAGGTTAGCCAGTATCATGGCTGAAACCTGAACTGAGCATCTCTTGAACACAAGTCTGCAACATTATACTAGGCTAACCTGCTTGGTGCAGTCAAATTATATATAAAGTCCTCCATAATAAAATGTGAAATTTGTTCTGGTCCTGTTTTCATGAACCATCTTTCTTCACAAAGGACATTTTCCTTAGAATGTCATGAAGTTATCATATCAGATATCTTAAAATAGTAATTTTTACTCAGCCATATCTGAATGATGTGAAGTCCAAGGACCTTTAAAGTGGGTGTTTGTTCAAGGGTGCAGAAAATAATTCTGAGACAGCATCTACCCAAATAAAATGTGTGAACTGAAGTTGCTAAGACACTCACTTGAAAGCAGCAGTCCACGCTCAGCCTCAACATGCTCCACAGATGCATGGAACTCTCTTGTGGTCTTACAGATGCTCAGTGCCTTGCTGCACTGCAACATGAGGACCTTCTGGGTATACAGCTCTCGCCTCAAGGACTCTTTGTACTTCTGCTGTTCATCTTCCAGAGAAGTGGCAGCAGCAGCAGTATCCGCAGGCTTCAGTATGGGTATCGTAGGCAGAGGAGTCTTCAGTTTCTGAAAGTCATGCCCCTAGCTCAGTCCTTCTCATATCCTTACTTGGTTTACTGAACTGCAGAATTTGTTGTTATTGAACCGAGGAGTGAGATTTCAGGTTCTCACGGTAGTGACTATGAAGAATTCTATCTTCCAGGATGTGACACAGTGTAGTCTGGTAGAAGCTTAGTGACATTTCACAGGAAGATATGCCTCAATCTTAGAACCACCAGCTCTTTCATGCTGAAGATGGAGGTAGTGAATTCCTTTGAAATATAGATAAACTTCTACCATTTTACACAGAATCATATCCCATATTCTTCATCTGAAGAGTTTTATGATGATGTTAAATACATAACATTCGAGGATGTTTCAAACATGTATTTATTATTTCAGTGGGGCATGCAGTAGCATAGTTGGTTGAGGCACTATGCTACAAGCCAGAAGGTTGCAGGTTTGATTCCCGATGAGGTCGTTGGATTTTACAATTGACCTAATCCTTCCAACAGCACTATCACCCTGGGGTCAACTCATCCTCTAACAGAAATGTACCAGGAATCATCTTGGGGATAAAGGGCGGTTGGTGTATAAGGTTGACAGCCTCACTGTTATCTGTGAGCTAAATGTCTAGAAAATGTGGGAGCCTCTACATCTCATAATCCTATGGGCCTCCATGACCTGTTACAGGGATAGCTTTACCTTTTTTATTTATTACTTCAACACAGATGTCCAAAACAATACAGAATAACAGATAGATCCTCTGTTTCTCCATGTAATCACCAGAATGAATGAGGGCTTTGTTCCAGCTCTATATCACCTGTTTGATTCCAGTTGAGAAGAAATTACAGTTTAGCACCTACTTCAGTCAGATTGCTTCCTTCAGGTGCTGTTGTACTGTGCAGTGGCTGTATGCTTTCACCGTTGTCCTGGGGTCCATGACCTGATGAAGAGGAACTGTCCATAAGAACATACCCGCAGACTGCTGGAAATATATCGCCCATCCACCATTCAGCCTGGTAGACCCTTGCATTACTGATTTCTTTTTAACTTCTAAGGATTATAGGAGGAGCACTTCTGACATGATAATAAGATGGAAGCCAAGGGGTGCTAGTGGGTGCAAACACTAGGCCCTTCCTGCTTCTTTGTAAGTACTGAATGCAGACATATTCTTTTGTGCTTTGTTGTATGATATTGTCAGTATCTCACACTATATAGCATCAAATGGTCAGATGATTCATGAGTAGTGACTTGGAAAATACTTGGAACGAAGCACCAATGTCCTACTTGAGGTACTAGGACAACATTTGCCTGGAGGGACTATGAAACACTATAAGACGATCTTAGTCAGGATGGCCAGTGTCCTGACTGAAATTTAAACTGTGTACCTCCTAAATGCAAGCCTAAAACATTACTGCTTCACCACCATTCTGCTTGGTCATATAGTGTATCACCAGGACAAATGTCTCAGCTGCTCTGGTGATTATGTGGAAAAACAGATGGCCTCTGTCATTTCCTGTTATTTTGGACACCTATGTTGAAAAAATAAATACAAGTGTAATATACTGTGAAGGGAAACTGCACAGCCCACATGTGTTATACCTGTCTAGCAAGTTGTGCTAGTGTGCGGTACTTTCTGACACTGAGGAATGGTGACTCCAAACCATCTCCCTCACCCTCTTCTGATGGCAGCAGTGAGCTCCTGTGACACAATTTGGGCTCACTCTGTGTAGAAGCCAGCTGTTCATCACCTAGTGCCTCTATCAAGAATGACTCTATGTCATATGAGTTGCCACTCAGCTGCTGCAACCAGTGAAACAGGTGACTAAAAAACAAATCTTTTGAAGCAATGCACAAAAAACATGAAATTAAGAACACTGTATTGGGTACTAAGATGATTTAAAGATAAAGAGAGGCAAACAGTGAATGGATAAATCCCATTTGATAACAGCTGCAAAAGCTGAATCTGATTCATAGACCAACTGAAAACCCAGTTACTGGGAACTCCCAAATCCTGATACGTTCACTCCATAGGAGTTACAGATGTTGAGGCTTGAGGGAGTTCCAGATTATTCATTTACACACTGGGAACATACAGTATGAATTTTATATAACTCAAAAGCACAACAGACCACTGTAGGTCGCAGTGCAAGGGCTAAGAAGGCCTACCCCTCATACATTCATTATATAACTCAAAATCTCTAGAAAAGTAACAAAAATTCCTTTATTCCAAGAATAGAAGAAAATGGACCCAAAAGAGAGTTCTAGGACACTCATGGATGCAATGGGGATATCATGTGTAGCCCTCTGTTTTTCCACATAGGGATCCACAATTTGAGGGAATTCTGGAAAATATTCCTAAAAGGTTTAAACATAAATCTGTAAGAAAATTTTCCGGCTACATTCTTGGAAGATATTCAGACAGCACCTACGTAAATCATAGATCATAGTTGGACCTATGTTTTCTGTTGTGTACTGATATTTGTGGGGGAGCCAGGATAGTGCAGTTGGTATAGTAACTGGCTATGGGTTGGATGCCCAAGTAGTCAGAGTTAAAAGTTCCAGTAGAGGTAAGAATTTTCTCTTTTCCATGTTGTACAGACCGGTTCTGGGGCCCACCCAGCCTCCTATCCAATGGGCACCAGGGATTTTTTTTTCCGGGGGTAAAGCGGCCAGGGCGTGAAGCTGACCACTCACCTCCAACTAGTGTCAACGTCAAGAAAACGTGGATCTATACATCCACTCCCCCATATGCCTTCATGGCATAGTGCTTAGTTAAGCACATGGACAACTTTACATTCACTTTTTTTACTGACATCTGTGTAATGGGATGTTTTCAGTACATTTGATACATTTCAATTTCGATTTGACATAAAATACAAGCATATGGGAAAAGGTGAAGTTGTCCTTGTGATTAATTAATTAAATGCCACACCATTAAGACATATGCACAAGTTAAAATACAAAATGAGATTAAATCCACATGACAAACTTATACAGCATAATACCAGTTTTCATTAAAATCAATTCAGTAGGTTGGAGGTGCAACAGATGAACAGATAGATAGACATGACCTCTTCACTGTATGTTAATTTTATCCAGGAACACAAACACACCAACATGAATTGGACCCAACTTAACCTCTCCTCTCTTTAACCATCATGTGATGTTAGGGTGAGGAGGAATTAACATCTGTTCTACATTGTGTTCTTGGGTTCTTACACCATGTCGTTATGGGCAATGATGCTGACATATCAGAAGTATGTGCTGGTTGAAGCCATGCCTGAAGATGTAAGCAGCATATACCTCCCAAACATCATGGATTTCTTACTCATTGACCCAAATGAAAATAAGACCTTCAATGAATGGGGATTGTTTAGATTTATGTATTATTTTAGGGGGTTGTGATATGACCGAGTTTGAGAACCCTCATAGCATTAACCATTCCACCACACCTTCTCACCTCTGTGCAGTGTTCTGCATCCCCCTCCACTTCACACACCTCGTGTGCTAACGACAGCTGATTCGCTACCTTGAGGATGACTTTTTTATCTGCATCTGATGATATTCTTGTGCTGTTCGGTTCTTGGTGCTCTGTGGGCACAGGGGAAGTGAGCAGAGTGCATGGTGAGAAGAAGGCAGTGGAGTCTGAGTCATCATTCCCCTCAGGCACTGACCCATGCATTCCAACATCTGCCTGTAGCTCTTGATTGACCCTTGCTGCTACTGTCACTATATCTAAACTAAACTGTTCATTCAGTTTCGTGAAAGGTGGAACAGTTGCTTCATTTTCACTGCCATCCTGTGATTCATATGTCTGTACAATACCACAAGTTTCCTCTTTACACACTAGATCCAATGACTTTGAAGGTGAAGTGCTATGTACAGATACAAAATGAAACATACAAGACTGCCCTAGACAATTATCATGCTCTTCAGACAACAATGAACAAACAGCTACATCATTTTCACAGTAATCCTCTGATGCTGTCCCAGTGGTACACATATCGGCATTGCTGGTAACGTCTAGCTTTTCTCCTGGATCTAATGAGTTGGAAGACAGACTGGTGTGTACCAACACAGCTCCTGTCTGACCTGTGACCTCACTGCTTTGCGCCTCACAACTGACATCTTCATAGTCTATGTTGACCGCCTTTAATATTAAGGATCTCGTTTTAAGTAGTGCAGCACGATATTCTGGTGTTTTCTGCTTCTCTCTCAATGAAGCTGCTCTTCTCAGCATTCGCTGCAAATAATTGAAGGATGTGTGTTAACATATCATGTATATGTTGGAGAGGGAGAATTACTTACATTTCTGTTCCTACTGCACAAGATAATTAAACTGTTACATATGGAGTTTGGCTTCAAGGGCTGTATAGTACAGTAGGGCCCTGTACCAGGGGAAGGCAATATGACAATATTAATTTGTCCAAAATTAATCAGGCACCATAGGAAAATAAAACTAAATCTGATAAAAATGTCACGTGACATCTGACATTCTTACAGTGTTGATTGCAGAATACTGTCTTCTGTGATGTGATGCTATGCTTCCATTTTCAGGGTAGAAGATGGAGGCAGCAGGGAACCATTTGTAAAATTTGTCGGGCTACACAATGTCACAACTCAGAAGATAGCACTCTTCATGATCACAACAGGGAGAACTTCAAATCTCTCACTGATAAACCCTGTTCAAGCACACAGTTTATTTAAAACAAAAAACAAAAAAAACAAGGAAGCATTTTCACCTTCGACAAAGGAAAAATGAAGCATGGAGCAAATTGAATGATAAGTTTGAACCTCAGAAGTAAACAGCCATACTCACAATCATGTGAGTGCATGAGAGGCAGATGGAGCTGCCATTCCTGGATTTACTTTACTCAAAACAGCAGCTGACATGGACTTTATTCTTATTAACCCTTTTGAAGCATGAAAAAAATGAGAGAGCAGGCGTTCTCTCCAGCCTAGCTGCAATTGTCAGTAAAACTGCCATGCGGTCTCATTACTGGGTTCAACATGAAGAGCTTTCCCTGGATTTTGCCAGTCAGAAGATGCAAATAATGTTATTTAATTACTTGTCACTGTGGTTTCTTCTTTCATCAAATGACATAAGTTAACAGGCCTAAATCTAAAAATTGTATCTTCTTTCTTGAAGGATGGACTTCATCAAAACAATATTTAAAATTCAGCTCCTTCCTTATAGGAAATGTTACATTTCCATAACAAAGACCACCCAGTCAGTGCTGTTTAGAGAAATAATCGCTGCTTATTCTGAGAATCACATAAATACCACTGCATGGGGAGACTACACAGGGTTTCTTCATACAAAGCAGGTGGTACATATAGTAAAAATGTGCTCTAAAGCAATAAATTATTTTATTGCCAAGAGTTACTCTAACTGCCTGATGCATGAAACAATGGATTAAAGTAGTCTGGGGCCTTGGTAAATGTATTTTGGGACCATCATCTAATTGTTACCACACACACAGGGTTACAGGATATTTTAATATAAACAGGACATGAAAGGACTGAAATAACAGATGGAATTTAGACATATTTATTCCATTGTTAGAGAGCATGGAAGCAACTGCACGTGCCCTAAATAGTCTTGTCTATGGTATCTGTCTTCCACTTCTCTTGATTACTTAGAAGCCATGCTTCAAATCTGCACAGAAAACGTTCACAACAAAGCTGGATAACTGCCCTATTTGTCTCATAAAGCATTAATAACTCTTCTCACCCTTGTCTGGTAATTTCTCAAAGTACGAAACACACTCCACCGATCATCTGATTCCAAACAATTCTAATTTCAAATAACAACTTTTGAACTCAAACAAAACAAGAGATAAAACTATACTTTTATATAAAATTCATAACATTTGAGAACATCATGTAAGAAATTGTTTTGAACTGAATAATAATTTCCTGTATTTAATATGTTTTAAAGAAGTTCCAGTTTCTTGTTTTTATCAGAAAAATGACAAAAGTTTACTGCCAATCTAAGAAAGAAAGAAATTATAATTTTAAAGAAAATTTATTAAATTTATGAAATGAAAAATATAATTTCTCAACTGAAGTATTCTTCCATGAATTTAACCTCTTTTACATTATTTCTAATTTCTGTTAATTTGACATTGAATTATATAAATCTTGCATATATATAAAATATTCTTGGATATTTAATAAATAATTTGCTGCTTTTCCTGTAATGATTTAAATGACTAAATTATCAAATCCCACCTGAGTAAATGTATCCATGTGCCTCTTTCACTCTCTGCCTCAAGACTAAATCACAAATGCCCTTTCACCCTCTCATGGTGATGCTATTTTCCACCACCAGGAGCACTGTAGCTCCTCCCACTAAGACAAAAGACCAAACAAAAGCAACCCAATTTTACAATGTAAAGGGAGTTATAATCCTGATTCACCCTTTGGATAATATTTTGTGTTCCAAATTGAATCCTTCAAAAATTACTGTAACACTCTGATATATAAAATCCATCTAAATATTATATATTCAATTCCTACCTCACAGAAAAGTCTCCATTACAAAGACCAATTGGTTAATCCTGTCAACATAATTCTCTTCTACCCTAAAAACAGAGAAAGGTTTTTTAAAACTACATAACATCAGATTCCAGACAACCAGATCTTACTACTTGCCACTGTGTGAACCTCACATTCCATCCACATGCTCTCAAACACCTTTATTTACAATTACATCATTTACATTCTGGCATTAGACCTCCCTGAGGTAGCTTTGCCAAGTGTTTGAGCCACAAGGGTTTCCATCAAGTGCAAATGCTTTAGCCACATGCTCAGACTCTCCAGTTCACATGGTTACAGGCTATCCTAATGTTCTTCATGGCTCTTTTCAGTCTCTCTATAGAAACCCTAAGATAATGTCTCAACATAAGCCACCACCTTCCACATCCTTACCTACATTTTATTCATAACAGTACATCAATGTTAATAATGCCTGCAGTTGGTATACCAACATTAAATAATCTAAGAACCAATCATTCATCAACTCTGTACTGACAGAATCATATGGATTTTCTTTTAATTTTGGTCATTTAGAATTATCTAATACATCAGTTTCAGTCATGAAACATTTTCTGGAAACTGTCTAAAATACACTGATAACAGAAATGTGAATGAAAATTCATTAGCAATTTCTAAAAATATTAAATCACATTTCAAATCACGTTTGTAGATTACAAAGCCTCAAGTTATTTTACTCATATTTGATGAGCCTTGGGAACCACTGGATCTAACAGATCTGGCAAACCCATCTGACATCTGGCAGTAGTTGCCATGTGTAAGAGAAACAGATAACCACCTTCCTGCAAAAGTTATATACAATAATGAATGACAATATTCTTCCATCTCCATGGTGCAAGGGCTGCCCCCCTTTGGCAGTTGATGCACTGTAATGGAACCCCAGAACTCAAATGTTCATCACAAAAGCATGCCAACGGAACCTTCACTAAGCCAGTTCAGCGAAGTTCACATCTTCATACCTTATTTCCCTGACATACATTCTTAACATTATACTACCATCTAGGTCTCTAAATACTTTCTGTTTGTTCTTGTTTTCTCCATGGATGTGCTACATGTCCCACCCATCACACCCTGATTTCATTTATTTATGGTTCACTTAACAACACGGTGAACACCTTGTAAGTGCAGTGTCAAACATTAGGATCATTAGTGAATAATGAACTGTAAAAGATGTGGAAGGAAGTCATCATGATCTAATCTGAGGTCATATCATGGCTTTCACCTGGACAGACTGAGGGAAGCTGTGAAAATCTTGTCTGAGTAGCCAGCAACCAAGTTAAGATTTGAATCTCAAGAACACAGAATAATTACTGTTTGAAACAACTTGCTAGGTGTGGTCATTACTGATTACATCACCCAAAGAACAGCAAGTGAATACAAATTGTAAATATCCTTACTGTAATATTCTCAATTTTCATGTTACTTGCTCCCTCTTATTCTCTCAGGAACTCAACCTACCCCTGAAAAAGGTCATAAGACTGCAAGGATCCTTCATGATGTGTCCTGCAGAAGGACAGAGTTGGGACAATGGATGGGTTTATTTTTGAACTACTTGGGACATGACACTGGTATGTACATACATTCAGCACACAGCAAGGTGATGTCACCTCAAGGTGGAGGCAGCACACAAATTGATACATTAAATATGAAAACAAATAGACTATAAAGACAATGGAATAAGAACAAAATTTAACCTTGTAAGTCCCAAGATATTTAAAACAAAATTATTTTAATATTTTCTTTCATGCCTGCTGCATTAATCACAATTATCATTTTTATTATATTAGCATCTGACACAACTTGTAATAGACCCTCCTGGGTTACTTTGCAGCTCTGTCTGTCTCAAGGCTACATAGCATCAAATGGTGACTCACATATATGAATCTGGAAGGAAATAATAATGGCCTAACCTATCCTGGCATTTCCCTGAAGGGACTCAGGAAAACCAGGACGGTCACTGTCCCAGCCAAGGTTGGAACAGGACATCGCTCAACCATGAGCCCATGACTCTGATGCTAGACCACCCAGAAAGAACATGCTGGGTAACAATACAGGTTAATCCCCCCTGAAGACTTCTTTCCTGCCCTTGCTGCTACATGTGAATGACAGGAAGTCCCTGCTGCTGTGCACCATTTGGCAAAGGAAGACGATAGAAGATTCAAGCACAGTGGCTGACCGCATTTTGGAAAGAATGTTGGTGAAGGTTGGGCTGTCATCAAAACATCTGTTACAGATGTATCAGATGGTAATATAATAAACAATATAAACAAACAAAATTAATTTATTTGTTAAAAATATAAATGTATTCTATTTGTATACTATACAGTTATCAAAACAATTATAATTACTTTCTAATTACTATAACATGTATATGATATGGCATAATTCTGGCCACATTATCCTGATTTAAAGTTAGAAAAACAATAAAATTTGTGATTCCAAAGTACAGCCTTCTGGTTTATGACACTGTGAACTCTGATAGGGGGGTACATATGTTCTAGAAGAACATTTGCCTCTGTCATCAAGACAGAAGTCATTTCTACCAAGCTGCACGGTGTCCTGTTTTAATTTCTAGTTTAGGTAACGACACTGTCAGTAGTTCAGACTACATACCATCAAATGGTAGGATGACATGATACAATGAACTGGAAATGATGTGGCACGAAGCAGTCAGCCTAATCTAAGGTACAAACTGGGCATTTGCCTGGAGAAACTGAGGAAGAAAAATTCAGGATAGGCATAGTTTGGTTGAAATTTGAAATTCCCAAATACAACCAGACCTGTCATTACTTGAGTCAACTTGCTGGTTACACGGTATCATAACCCACAAGACCACAATAACAGCCTACACCACCATGAAAACATCAAGTCTCATTTCATGATTCCATGTTGCAGTGCTAAGTTCAAAGGCATGCCACAACTTTTTATTTCCTACAAATGAAGAAGATATTTCCACACTTTTCCATGAATCCTGCAGTGACAGACACTAAGCCACTCTTGGTGGTGAAGCACATGTCATGTGATGCAGTCTTAGTTATAAGCAGATAGCATATAATTGATATGTATATAAATATAAAAATACACATTCTAATGCATAATACTGAGGTGAGGTAGCAACTATCTCTACAAAATGCAAAAACAGGTTCAGATCATAATCATGAGTTGAGTTCCACACAACACGGCTCTTTCTGCTCTCTGTATCAACTGCACAGGTTCAATGAGTTGTTATGGTTATGCACAGTGAACTCTGACCTATCTTGAGGTATCACTGTGCAGTCTGATCCCAAAACAATGCAAAATCACAGTAAACAGATTATATTTTAAACAAATGCTAATTGTATATAGCCAACATAGGACTATTACAGGCAAATAAAATCAAAATCCAAGCAAAGAATATGACACTTTTGAGTGGCACTGGGGGGAACACAAGAAGGGAAAGAATAGAAATAAAACTTCTGGAGAGGAAGGTGGCATTAAAAACTTATTAAAAAATTAAAAAATAAATTTTAAGGATGGTTTGGCCATGTAAAAAAGTTGGACAGAATACGGACATCAAGAAGGGCAGTAGGATTACAATTTGAAGAGAAGAGAGCTATCGGATGGTCCAGAAGTTGGTTTGGCCAGGAACTGGAAGACATCAGAAAGAGTGAAAAGATCTGGCCAGAAATTGAAGAGGATAGACTGTGGGAGGAATGAAGAGACCGGAGGCTTCTTGTCCACTAGTAACAATGCTAGAAGAAGATCCATGTACTATCTGGCAGATAGCATCGGCCTATGGGGAGGAACAGGAAAAATAGACTGCAAAATAAAATCAGTAAGTCACATGGAAGTCTGTAGATGTCAAATTAAAAGATCAGACCAAAGAGTGGAGATGGGTGCTGCTTAAAAATATATATGTGCATGAAGTAAAATGCAACACTAGTCTGCAAAAAGTTTGAAGTGTTCCTTATTTAGGGAGCAGAACTCTTGATTCCAAAGTCTTCTGACACTAATATATTGCACCATATTATTGGGGCTCTGGAGTTTGTCCATCATCTAGTACTTCAAAACAGAACAGTTTCAGAAATTGAATCTATTTCCATCATGAGACAGAGGCACAACTCAGCTGGTCTCAATTGCTGGATCCAAGCAGATCCAATTTCCAAAATATTGTGTTCTGTTTGGAGTATCAGACTATGGACATAGTCCAGAAAGCCAGCTCTGCTGCAGTTTTACAGTCCCTCCTATTGGTGTCCAGCAGCATCTGCCTTGAAACAGCATTGGCGGACGATCATGTGTTTGCTAGGAGCACAGCCAAACTCTGCTTGCAAGATTGTGATGATTCCTTCTGAAGTGGTATGTCCATGAGGTATGTACATCTGGCTGTTGACAGATGGCTAGTCAAATTCTGGAGGAAGTAATATGGCCACAAAATAGGTTTGACAATAACAGGGCTCAATCTAACTTATCCAGTCTTAATGTCCTCACATCTCCTTAGCAGCTACATGACATCATCTGCACTAAATGCAGCATCACTAACCCAGTCCTTGTGAGTAAACAAACTGAGCTGGAAAAGCCAGTGCTGTTAAGCCTGTCACAACTGGATCAGGCTGATGCTGACAGGCAGAGTTTATATGTCATGTATTCATATAGTATATGCCAACAGATGGCAGGACGAAACAGAATATTCAGTTTTCAGCATTCTGTGATTCTTGTTTTGCGTGAAGAATCTGAAATGATTAGAATCATTTCATTTTTATGAAACTGCATAGCGAAACCTGACAGACTGTAGCACCACACTTGGCAGTAATAAGGCTAGTAACCTATCAAACACACTGTGCTGGCATGCTATGTCACTACCAAGCTTTCCAACATAATCTCCACCATTCACTCAACTGTGCAGCACATATCCCATTGAGTAGATCTGAATCAAAGAATCACTTGCTCCAAGAATGGCTTCCTTTCTAAACAATACTATATAATCTCTATAGCTCATAGTAGCATGAAGTGATGGAACAGTGTCATGATGCCGGCACCACCTTTGTGCTCGGACTGAGTGAGTTCTTCTTTCCCCAGGTGGGCGACAACACCTGCCTCAGAAACACACTTCTCCGCTCCCGCAAATTCGGCTTCGTGAGCTTACCCAGGTCACTGTCACAGCTACTTGGAGAACGGATGACTTTACAACGATCTGGGCTCAATCTGGAATTACATGAATTTTGGGCCTTCAAGTAATTATTCCACTGCCTTATCCTGTTTGGAACAACTGATGTCATGTTCTCCTTATTAAAACAAACAATGGGCTCTTTCTCCGATTCACACAGAATTTTCAATCTGGAATCATCAGGGGTAATTGCAGGGCAATCTGCACAGGACTGCGGAGGCTCCGACTTCTTAGAGTTCGCCTCGATATTAGCTACTGTCTGCTTGGATTCAAACTTTTCACGCAACAAGGAGAACTTTCTACGTGGTCTGTTTGCAACCTGTTTCTTTCTGGGTGTGGAGTCACTCATTCTGGGCATCATGTTATTTGTGGGAGGGCATGGACTGTCCATGTTGTGGACAGACTCAAGGTATGGGGATGCATCCAGGATGACTTCAGGACTTGGTTTGGGTGAACTGCTGTCTTTACTGCTTGGACTTGACTCAATTTTTGCATCCGGCATTGGCTGCAACTTGGACAAGAACAGAACCTCTTCCGGAGTGAGACAAACCCGAGAGTGACTGGTCATCAGAAGGGAATGAGGGGCAGGGTCACAGGATGAGGGGTGCTCACCCTCCCACAATGCATCTGTTGAGTTGTACAAGCTGCAGATGGAACCATCATGGCGGATCTCACTGATGGTTGCGACAAGAGTACTTGCTGAGTCATGGCTCTGCTTATGCCTGATACAATCATCAGTCTCTGTGCTTGTACTGGATTCTTCCAACTCCTCCATGATGGTATCCAGTGTTGTCAGGGGAAACAATGCCCCATGCTGGTCTACAACATATGGCCGGGCCACAAACAAACTGGGGTCATGCTCCTCCACAACAAATTCAGCCAGTGGACGATCCTGACAATACACACGTGTTTCACAGTCTGCTAAGTCATCAATCAGTGTATCCAGATAATCATCCTGCCTAGTTCGCAGGGCCCGAGGCCCAGGAGCAGGTCGCCTGCAAGGTACTGGTGGAGGTGATACAGCATTAGAATCTTCATTACCACCAGACTGATCTGATGAAGCAGAAGTCAGCGTTGTTGTTGTGCTGGTGAGCGTGTCACGTCGCCTATCACGCACAACACTGCCATCATGCAACCAAGTTTCTATGTCTGAATATCCGCGCCATGAGCGCAGGCCCCAGGCCTCCCTGGCAATGTTGACAGCGCATATGTTTTCATAGTCATGGGTAGACAGAACTTCACTAGGAAATGAAAGCACTTCACTGGGAGTTTCATCATCAGGTTGCTTTGCATTGCTCTCTGCCTGAGTTGCCTCCTCAGGCAGTTCAGCAGCAGAGCAAACTGGACGTCGCTTTCCATCAGAACCTTCTGCGCCCTTATCACCGAGTTCCAAACCCACGAGATCTGGTGAGCAGATGCCGCGCCGTTTCTGTCTCCGTTCCTCTTCATCACTAGGTTCCCCTTCCACATGAGTACCCAGCTCCAACTCAACCTCCATTTCAGGCTCCAGTGAGCAAATCCCTCGCCGCTTATGTTGGACCATGCTCTTGCCATCCCTACTAGCCTCCTCCTCCCGCTCACCTAACCCCAGTTCCGAAAGAGAACAGATGCCATGGCGTTTGTCTCTGTTGGTACTGTCACAGGCTGCGGACTTGTCTTCACATTCTTCTGCAGGTTCCTCTGCTGTCCTCAAACTCGGACTGGCTGTCTGGCAGGACACCCAGTGCGTCAGCAGCAGGTTCTTGTCTGTGCACACATCATCCGAATGTGGAGAGCCTTCCTGTGTTGAGGTTCCACCCAGCCTGGAACAAGGAGAAAACAGCACGACTGCTGCCACAGTCACAGAAGCATAACTATTAATGGATTGAAGAAAGTCGTCTTCTGGGTTTAGGCACCGTGTATTCTTTGTTTTGGCCGACGTTTCAGAGGAACGTAGCGCCTCCATCTTCAGAGCAGTTGAATGGCTTGGAATGCGGAGAGCAGTAGCCGTAGCAGTAGGCGACTTTCTTCATTGTCATCGCCGTGAAAACCTCAAAACTTACATATTAATGGATTATTTGTGATTCACATTTCATAGCCTTTGATCTGCAAATCATTCATTCCATTAAAATTCCAAATATAATATATCTGCCCCACTTACATCTGCAGATTCTGCTTAATATTGCTTAATTTTGTTTACATTCAACATCAAGAAAAGAGTAAAGTTGTCCTCATACATAAGCTCAACACTATAAAAGCTTTGGGGAGTGCTCTCAAATTGAACTAGAGCTAGAAGGAAGTGAGTCATTGTCTCAGCTGCTTTATCAGTGATACACACAAGAAAGTAAGCTGGTGGGCACCCACAGATAATCTGGAAATGAAAAATTATGCATCTTCCAGGAATCAAACCGCTGTTATTCAGCCCATACCCAGTCATTTTACAGAGAGAGCTACCCAGCTCCTCACATTAGCACACACTAGTAGAATGCCTGTTGAATATTCAGCATGAAAAGCTGACAAATCCTGTCTCCAGCTGCTGTTTCCACAGATACCCCTTCCACTGATCCACTCTTATGCATTACAGCCCTAAAGGGAAACTACGATGTAACAAGTTCACTAAATATGCTTGCTATGGACTTGAAAAGTTCTGGAAAGATAACTTATAGAATAAACACAATAAAAATACTCTTCAGGCATCTTTATTCAGTAAATGTTACTGAAACACTGCCATATACTGGTACATTTTGGAGGTTCTGACAACAAAATAACAATACCATTGTAATTTGTTCCCATGGGAACAACAGAACAATAAACCAAAAAACATTTTGGAGATATATCTCCACATATTCTGAATCTCAGTGCTGCATGGAGATATGAGGTCAACTTCATACTCCGGCTGCTTTACCCCAGGGGATACAGTCCCTAGTGCCTTCTGCCCAAGCAGCTAGGTGGGTTCCATAGCCAGACTATGTGTCATGGAGAACAGATAAACATATTGCCCCTGCCAGGAATCAAACCTCCTTTCCTCAGTTATCCAGCCTATGACCCAGTTGGAATACTGTCTCAGTTATGGAGGAAAATACTAAAATAGATGTTGTATTTTAGTGTCCTGTTGCACTGATTTTCGTCCATGATATGTATGCAGTGTCCATCTTTTAGTGCACTCAATTTCACTTGTTATTTCACTTGTTCTATTGTTAGAATTTGGACAGATAAGATATAACCTTAAAAAGATTTTAGTATATAAATATTTATTATAATTGATGAATATTTTTAAATACTTTTTAAATTTTACAATGACATAATGGCAAGCAATGAACTAGATTAACGTCAATGGAGCACCTGATGATGGCACTGTAGTGCCGAAACATGTTGTGAAATAACAAGTGAAATTGAGTGCACTAAAAGACGGACACTGCATACATATCATGGACTAAAATAGATACTGAAGACATAAATTATGAAGCTGAAATGAAGTGAACAGGTTAGTACCAGAATATGTGAAGATGGAACATGCCACACAACTAAACCTTGAAGGATAATAACTTGGTGACCACCACTGCTTTGTTTTCACTGCTGTGGGAACTGGGATAGCTCAGTAGATATAGTGACAGGCTATGGGTTGGGTGGCCAAGGAATTAGAGTCTGATTCCCAGAAAGGGCAAGAGACTTTTGTCTTCTCCACAGCATCCAGATTAGGTATGGGGCCCAGAAAGCCTCCTATCCAATGTGAGGTGCCTGGGGCATGAAGCTGACCACTCACCTCCATGTAATGCTGAGGTCAAGAATGCATGGAGCTATACCTTCACATCCCTGTACATCTTCATGACATATGGTTAATGAAGCACTAGAACAACTGTACCTTTTGCCCAGTTTGCAGTTCATTTATTCATTTCTGTCAAGTGGGCATGTGCAAGAAATGTTAAGACGGTTAATGTGGCACAAGAAGGACGCATATGAGGAGTACCTGGTAAGAGATCCATCTCTGTCCGTTTGCCAACAGTGCTTCAGGGATCGCATTGTAGCCGTGTGGCCCGTATTGCCATCTGACAGGCATGGTGGGGTGCCACACTCGAGGTTATGTTGCAGCTGTTTAGAGCAGAGTCTAATGGGGCCAGCTGGGTGGAAGAAGCGGTAGTACAGGAGCATACTGGACATCCCTGCAAGCACCAAAGATGTCACAATGACAGGCAACAATGGCACCAGCTATGGTGGCTGCAGAACCAGAGTCAGACAGACTTAGTGCGACCGGGCCTGTCTACTCTCACCCCATGCAGGCAACATGCGGATGCCCCTGGGCAACGCTCGGGTGATATGCGGAAACATACCCTTGTGAAAATTGTGAAGAGTGAACATTCCAAGGGGAAGCAGCCTTCTAGGCAATGCCGTGTTTGTGCAGTTCACAAAAAAAGGACTATGACTGTCTACATTTGCAAGTGTGTAATGCCACTTCACAAAGGGGAATGTTTCCAGAAATATCACACTCTCAAGCACTTCTAGGAGCATTCTTAAGTGTTCTCCAAAAAATTTAGTTCATAAAATTAATTAGGAGATTTTATATTAATTTTTTAAAGTGAACAGTGCACAAGTTAGGGTAGTAGGTATAAAAATGCTGGTCCCCAGGGTGATTTAAATATTCAAATCGCCGGTCTGCAAAGTGTTAAGTTGACGAGTCCTATATGCTTGTTAGATTACTGAATTATGTGTAATTATTGTTCCCTTCATGAATGTAGTTGCAAAGTGACCAGTTCTGTGTTTAGAGCTAATATATGTATATGTGACATGTTCTATATCTGATGGCTTTGGCAGCCAGTAAGGATCTATGGAATTAAAATAAAGATACAGATACACTTGCATCTAAGGTCTCCCTAAACAATAAAATCATGATGAGACTGCATGACAGCATGGTACCACAGTGTGCTAATAGAGTGCTGCACCTGCTTACTGCAAACAATTGTCTGTCATTATTTTCATGAAAAATTCTAATTTAGAAGAACCTCTTGCAATATTCACTGAATATTTTTTTTCAGTATGACTGTTATGATTGGGCTGTAAGTATGGGAAGCAGAGCCCCTAGTATATGCAAGTACACGCCTACCAAACAACATCACATCCATATGATCATACTCTTAACACTTACGACTGTGAGAACCTCAAATCAATAAGGCAAAGTTTGCAGTTTCACTGTATCACATGTGATGGGTATTTCAGTACATCTAATCACCATTCACAATCATCTTCCCTTCTCAAATGACAGCATTGTTAAATAACTTATATATCAATAAATTTGTCATCTCTTGCCGTGTGAACATTTTAAGTATAAAAAGGTAACAGAAAAAAATATAGGATATTGATATTCAGGTGTGACACCATGTAGTTTGGTAAAGAGGTACCGAGCTTACTGAGGAACCTCCTGCTTTCAGCTGCAGATTTGCTGAACTATGTGATGCCACAGCCTGCCAATAAACATCTTAACATTCACTGCCACGAGAACATCATATCTGAGAAGAAATGTAAATGATTATTTCAAAATACCAAAAACAAAACAGAATCTTCAGTATACCAATCAGATGAGGGCATGGGACTGTTACATACCGAGAACAGTGCCTCCGATGATAACAGCTGCTGCCGCCTCGATGAGACCAGGCCTAGACACTCCGGCCAGTGCAAGGAACAGTCCAAGACATCCTAGATTTTGTAATACAATGATCACATAGAATGCAAGGGCACGGTGACGGGACCGACCCTCTTGCAAGTTGAAGAAGCAGAAACAATAGATGACCCCAACCACACAGTTGTAGATGCATTCTTCCCATGGGGTCTGGCAGAAATCAGTTTTTTGAAACATGATCCACACCGTCATACCCAGCCAGTGCGCGCCTGCAAAGGACGCAGAATGGAGCATCACTGACCCACATGTCACCCTCATGCATACACTTAATGATAAACAGTTACATAAATACATGGTCCCATTATAAGCAGTACAAGTACCAAGCAACAAGAAGATCCAAGCATGGAAGCCAACAGCAAAGAGGACAAGTGTTGCGATCCTTGCAGTAACCATTCCCCCACGCCACGTGGCTTGGCACACCAGCCCTGGCCATGACACATGGGTCTTGTCTGGCCGTGCTCGACGCATTGCTCTGCTGTATGCTGCTACAGCCCACGAAAGAGAAGCCAGGGATGCTATGGCTGACACACCTGTAACACACAACACACAAAACAATAAGGACAGAAACAAATGTACAGACAACATAGTCTGTCCAAAACACCTCTGAGGGTAGTCATTCCTTCAGTAGGCAACCTAATGGAGGGAAAGTCCTGTACATTCATTGAGATTTCGAGTAAGGAAATTCTGGTGCCTACTGCATATCAAAATACAGTCTAGTAACTTTCTAATGACGATGTAATGTTCTGTGTCACTATCTGATGGATGATGCAATCTCAAAGATGATTGAAACACATATAGGAGTGTCTTACATATAAAAGGCCAATATGCCTGCTATTCTGTCATTACATACTATAGCGTGTAGAGCCGTTTCTAGGCAACGGCTCAGTAAACAAGTTCCTGTGGCAATGCACACATATGCAATAACACAGGTATAGCTGGAAATTGGGTTTTCTATTCCGTCCGTGCAAAGAGGTTATAAGGAGAACAAGTAAAATAAGAACACTTCATCCCATGTGGAGGCAGGGTCAAATACCTCCACCGCAGCCCTGTGAGTTGTAGGAAGCAACAAAAAGGGAAGTCTCAAATCTGAGACAGTAAAATATGGTTGCAAGTCCCACGGGACTCAGACCCAAGAATGGCTGCGTTGGTGAGGGTAGCAGCAATTGTAAACGACAGACCCGTCCTCTCGTCAGAGAGAGCGCCCCATATCAACAAACCTACAACTGTCTGACAGTAATGAAAATCTGGTCATAAGCCCCGGGTGGGTGCTTTATTCCAAGACAGACTGGCTGACTGACTGACCGTCAGTCATAATATAAGACTCAAGACTCAAGAATAGTTCAGTTGTCAGGGATCCACCGTTCAGAGAGGACGTTAGCCCGGAAGCAGGGGAACGGCCGTTTCTAGAAGCCAATTACTAGGCAACTACTAGTGAAGACACTGCAGGCTGGAAAAGAGTGTGATTTTATAAATTGCGAAAATAGCGATAGTGTTATAGCTATTTGTAGTTATGACCTGTAAATGGTCAATAAATCCAATATCCAATCCAAAACCCCGTATACAGTCAGACACACACGTAATAATTGGTGTCAGAAGTGGGACTGGATTGACTGATGGATTGGATTGAGTTGTGAATTGTGAACCGTCAGAACTAAACCCAGGAGACAGGTGATTATGGCGGATTTAGAACGCCTGATAGTCGTCATAAGAGGACTCAAAGCCGTGATACATAACAACCAAGCCAAAACAAGGGCTGCATTAAAAACCATTCATGACGGACAGGAGGGAATTAAATCTGGACAAGCGGAAATGAAGGCCACAGTAAGCGCCATCTTACAAATGATGAAGTCGTGGAGAGAAGAGACGACTTGCCTGGTAGAAGTGGGGGCCACGGTTTTGGAGGCAAATCCTGAAGAAAAGAGAGACCGTAGCTGAGCAGCAAGAAGTCCCTAAAGAAGAAGCAGCACTGGAAACTGAAGCGGTATGGGGACCGGCGTCTAGCCCTAGGGCGCCGCCGACAGCTGCAGAAACGGACCCAGGGCGATGGTACGTTCCAGCAGAAGTTGGCCGCCGCCCGCAGAGGGATGACCTGCCGTGCAGGACTGGGGCTCGGCGAAAGCGACGTGGTCATAAAGGGCCGACGATCGAACAGAGACGACAAAGACAGCGGACCTGGGACAATGTTGCAAGGGGAACCTCGAAAGGACGGACATTCGGGAAGAGACGTCGGCATAACGGCACAAGGAACTAAGGCATGAAAAAAGCGATTACTTCTGGGAAGCAGAACACTCAACAAGACCTTCAGGCAGACCGTAGGGCTGGAGATCGTGAAGCGAACAGTCGGGTCTTCTGTTAGGAGCCGGCCACCGCCGAAACGAAAGAAGAGAATGCACACAGCTTAAGAACCAGAGATGCAGGAGCGTCAGCCGCCCCCAAGTTTTGCCCGCACCGACCGGAAAAGAAAAAATGGCGGTACGCGTGCAAGCTATGCGGGGCGAATAACCTTAAGGAGAGAGCAATATAGCGAGCAGAGCCGTTTCTAGGCAAAAGCTCGGTAAACACATTCCCGCGGCAACGGGCAAGCATGCAACAATAGAGGTACGTGTGGAAATGGGGGTTGCTACTAGGTCCGTGCAAAGGGGTTATAAGGAGGCCAATTGAAGCTCAGACTAAATAGCGCTGAATGGGAGGATTAGTCAACAAAGAACTGGAAATGAAGTGGACGAACTGAAGAAAGCCAAAAGAGCTCTCAGTCATGATAATTCCTCTCTGGTCCGAGATTTGAACCTGGGACTTCCCGAAGACAAAGCAGCAGTGCAAACCACTCAGTTGCGACGACCAGCGATCGAAGCGTGAAACTGACCACCCACCTCCATAAAACACCCAAGTCATGCAGTTATCCTTCCAGGCTCCCTATATTCTCGCACGCCGTGGTTCTCTCGTACAGCGAGAGATTTACTAACGATACTGTACCAGTTACATGCAGGCTGGTGAAAGCGAAGGGCAGATGTCACTTGAGGCTCCTTGGAATTTCACTTCCCAGTGTCACGAGGACTAACCTCCCTCGCACATCCACGTGACGTGCCCAACAGCTTTCTTAACCGTCCACCTCACAGAGAAAACTGTGTCTCGTGAGAGTCGCGCTTCTGACAGCGATAACTGTATCCTGGGACGTGATGCCGTGCAGTCTGCTATAAATTTACCGAGGTTCCGGAGCAATATACAGCTTCTATCTTCAGGGTAGAAGTGTAACTTATTTCTCTTGATTCGCTGGACTTAGAATCTATAGCTTCCGCGTAGCAGTGTCTCTCCCAAGGCGGCAGGTTTACAGCCCTGAATATGGACATAGCATGTTCTCCTGATACCTTGGTACTCACCTACCGGACTGGACCATACAGTAGCAGCGGTTGCTTCACCACGCTGTTAGTATCTGGAATACGTAGGGCCGTGCCAGAGCTCAGGCGGTTTGTCGCCGGCCCGGGTTCGATCTCAGGTCAGGTGGGATTTTTGGTGGACAAACTGGCACTGGGGCAGGTTTTCTCCGAGTACTTCGGTTTTCCTGCCAATTTTCTTGCCACCGCCTCCACCATACACACACACACATCATCATCATCATCATCATCATCTGTCATCCGGAGGTGGTACAACAGACCAAACAGCGGCCGACGTACCAAATGGACTCAGTCTCACCCTCGCCCCAAGAAACTGAACTAAGTAAAATAAAAAACTAGATTATATAGGGTCGAATGGTAGGATCTGGAAGGAAGCAGCCGTGACCTTTTTCACAGCAATGTCTGGTAAGTGAGCAAAAACGCGCGCTGCTTGGTGTGCTGCTGCTACAGCAGACCTCCAGTCACGACACAGCCGTGCGCGCGAGCGGACGCCCCATGCTGAAGCTGCAGGCCGCCGCCGTCGGCAGACGGAAGCAACAGGTAGGTGAAGCTTTAGTTTCGGTTCTCAGTGGGGCCCCAAGGCATTAGAAGGGCGCCTTCTCTTCCGTGTAGTCCTCGTCTTTCCCCGTCTTTTTGCGAACCTTTCTTTTTCTTACACCTTCATTTATCTCTTATCCTCTTCCTTCCTTGTCTCTTCTTAATTTATCTCCCCTCGCCTTTTCTTTTCGTCTTCAACATCTCACTCTGCAATTCCTCCTCTCCTCCCACCTTTTACTTCCATATATATATTTGAGAAAGCACTGTGAGGGCCCAAACAAACACTGATGTCGAGATTTTAACCGACCTACAAGTTTCCAGCCTCTCAATACGAAGACGTGGTTTCCAGAATGCTGTCTGTATGTGTGTACGTATGTATGCACGGTTGTGAGGCTTCCTAGCGGCTCAACGGTTTGACGGATCTTGTTCTTACTCAGTACCTAAGAGATCATGTATCACAGGTCGATGCCCGATGAATACGAATATTCGAGCTCAAAAAAAAAAGTCCTACAGATTGGCCCCAAAATACAGAAAGGCACTTTTTTTTTCGAAAACTGCTATAAACACTTTAATTAATTTTCAGCAATTTATGGAAGTCATCTCCCTAAATAAGACTAAGTGACATCTTCAGGAAAATAAATAACGGCACGCGAACTAAGGGCCTACAAGCGAATTGCAGATTTTCTTGGCTTTACTGGCCAGACCGGCCCTGGGGCCCAGCCAGTCTCCTATTCAATGGGTACCGAGGGTATAATGGCAAGAGCGTGAGGCTGACCACTCACCTCCAACTGGTGCCTAGGTCAAGAATACGTGGATCAATACTTCCACTCCCCCAGACGTCTTCACGGACTAGTGCTTCAGCACAGCGACTGGTCAAACGAATTTCATGGTCGTTCGACATGCAGCAACCAAAAATTAGGCAACAATCGACTTCGTTTCCACGGCAACGTAGTCAGGGTCAATCGTATATGAAAAAAATACGGGCAACGTCTTTGCATCGAGTTTTTACTTCTATTCTCCTATTCTTCCTTTCCTCATCCTCAGCCTCCTACCCCTCCGCCTTTCTCTTGACGACCTGATCTGGATCTGAAAGGGTTGATGTTTAGTAAAGCTCTGGAACCTCTCTCTACGTGTATAAACCGGTTCCCTCGGAGGGAAGATCTAGACGTAGATGGTAGAATGTTAAAGTGGACTGGATTTGAGGTTCTGACAGCGGTGACAAGAAAGAGTATTATCTTATGGGACGTGACACCGTGTGGTACGGTAATTCAACGACGTCCTTCTCGCTGCTTGAGTGGCTTACCCTTGGACCTTGAAGATGGAGACAATAGAGCACTCCGAAACGTCATGAACTTCTACCGGAATACGGGTCATCACATCCCAGACGACAGTCGATATGAAATAAAGAGGGTGGATATGTCTGACTGTTATCCTGAGTTGTCTCGTGGATTTTCTCACTCCTTCCATGCAAATGTCGGGACATCAAAAATTATACATCATTGCTTCCTTCTAAATCCTTTCCAACTCCTCATCCAGCCACCATTCGACGCTACACGGGGCAGATCTTTACAGCGTCGTTAAATAAACCACACACAAATAAAGTACCGGTAGTCCTATACAATTTTGTGGGACAGAAGCGCCTGTGGAGAGCTGCGTTCGACGCAGAACCCGTTGTCTGCGAGAGATAAGGGCATGTCCGCGGCCGCCTTCCGCCGGGGAACTGCCACTTATCTGCCCGACCCCATCATCTGCCATCAACCATTTGTTTGCGTTCCTATCTCTCCTCTCTCGCATCTTCCTGCCTTCCTTCATTCCAGTCTCCCTAAGAACCAAGAGCTGCCAATTTATTTCCGGCTTCAAGAATACGGTCATCTGGAATGTAACGCGATGTACTTCGGGGTGAACCCGCGTTTCGGAGGAACATATCGCCTCTATCCTCAGAGTCGAAGAGTAGGCCAGACATGAAACCAGGATAAGCAGGAGGCAAGCTGAACCAGCACACGGCTATTAAACGACGCCTCAGTACTCAAACTGTGGTCTCTGAGTTGTGACACCGTGTAAATCTTATAGGCGGGTACAGACATTTTCTGGGATAGCTCAGCAGGATGACGGTGAAATCGGGTTCGATTCCCGACATGTATAGAAACTCTTCTTCAAAATATCCAGACCGTCTTTGAGGCTCACCCAGTCTCCTAGCCAATGAGTACCGGGAGCTCTTTCCACATCGCTAGATCGGACAGGGAGTGAAGCTGATCTCCATCCAGTGCCGAGGTTACGAATACGTGGAGCTACACCTCCATGCACTCGCCCTTCTTCATTGCATGATGCTTACTTAAGCACAGGGGCTTTTATCTTTTTACCGTCAAGACTACATAGCATTAAATGGTAGGATAACTGAATAACAAACTGGAAAGGCTGTAGAAGGAAGTGTTCGTGGCCTCACCTGAGGTACTGTCGCAGCATTTTCTTGCCTCCATCTTCAGGTTCAGAGAGTAAACGAAACATGGCACCAAATCTAAGAACATACTCTTCATTGTCACTGCCATTAGATCTCATAATCTCAAATGGACAATGGTAAAAATGGTAAAGCTATCCCTGTAACAGATGGTGAAGGCCCATAGCGTTGTGAGACATTGAGGCTCCCAGACCTTCCAGATAATCAGATCACAGGTGGCAGTGAGGTTGTCAGCCTCACACACCAGCTGCCCTTTACCACCCAGGAAGACTCTTGGTACACATTTCTGTTAGAGGCTGAGTCAACCCCAGGGCCATAGTGCAGCTGGGAAGGATTAAGTCAACTCAAAAATCCAATGACCACATTGGGAATCGACCCCGCAGCCTTCTGGCTTGTAGCATAGTGCCACAACCAACTACAGTACCACATACCACCAATCTCGAATGGAAAAAGAATGTATTTCAGAAGATTTATTTGACAGACTCAAGTACACTGGAGGTTGGCCCTGCAGGGGTTTGAATGGCACTGGAGGAAATGAAGGTACACAAACACAGTCCTGAGATATAAGAATCATATTGTTCTAGAATGTGGAGCTGATACAGTTCCTGGTCCTCATTTCCTTGCTGTGTGTCATTATGATGTTCCTTCTGCTGGTGCCATGTGCCATCAAGAGCCACCCGCCCCAGGAGAACAGCGACTACATACTTACACAGACACAAATGGTGAGAGCACTTTGTACCAGTGGGTGTGTGTGTGTGTGTCTGTGTGTGCACGGATGTGCGTGCATGTGTTTCTGTGCATGTGTGCGTGTCTGTGTGTGTGTCTGTGCAGCTTTCGCTCTTGTTTTCACGTGGACACAATGTTGAATGGATTACCACTTACAAATCTTTATGTTCAAAAGGCTTATGCTTGCTATTCTTGTATTATCTGTGTTAGCAAGCAGCTATAAATAAGAGAAATGTAAATATTGAGTTGGTACTGCAGTGTCTACTTTTGTTGACAGTTCATAGGGTGCCCCTACATACTGTCACTGTTTAATGCATGATGTTATGCTCCAGTCTATTCAGTAATGAGTGTACATCATGCCTTGAATAGGCAACCTCAGGCAAGAACTATCCTGTGTGATGAGTGGAATCTCCCATATGATGATTTTGTTTCCTATCATACATTGAAAACAGAATCTAATAACTTTCTAATGCTAATATAATTATTTATATCAATATTTCATAATGACACACCCTCAAAGTTTTACCTGAAGACAGAGACAGAATCCAGTATCCAAAACGTTGTGTTTAAAAAAGAAACCAAGATGGTGTTATAAACAAAACAGGATGATGGATAATGTCCAGAAACATAATATTTACATCAATAAAGTCCTGTCAGGGTTCCGCTGGTATCTGATGAGTCAGAGACTAGCCTGTCTCAATCATCAGAGGTTGATAAACTGAGTGTCCCAGCTGCATGATGTATTTATAGCCAGAGAGCATGCTCTTAGCTGCTTCAGTGTGGATTGCTGGGGACACAGTGCCCAGAGGATCATGACATTCTGCCCCAGCATGGACCACTGAGGGAATTGTGGGTGGGGTAAGGTGGTTCAGCATCAGAATCCAGCAATGTGTTCCAACTTCACTGTATCACTCCACAATCCATTTTTCCTTTACTTTCTCAATATATCCCCCAAACATCTTGTATAATTTGACATTCTCTGTCAATATTTAATACATATGAAATGTGATCTGTTTGATGATCTACACCTGCAGACTACTAAGATTTACCAATGAATTTCCAACTGCATCTGAATGAGGTAGTGAGTTATAACTTTGTCTAACCTAATAATAACCCCAAATATCATGAATTTTGGTGACTATCACCAATACTGTATCCAGGAAGACATGGAGCTTGAAATGAAGAGGCGGCAGCAGACCGTGATGCGCCAGTGTCACAACACAGGTGACGATGGAACCAAAAGCAAACTGCATGCATCAAGACTGCTCAAAGTGGTGACAAAGCTCTTTGTTGAAAAGTGAGTATTCTAAAATGATAGCACATGCCATATCTGCCAACTATTTACTGAAGAGTTGCTTGCTGAAATAACACTTCAGTTAGTCTGGCAGGCAACAATGAGACATACTGATATGTTGGGTTTTTGGACTTTATCCATCGTCCTGGTTTTTAAGATAACAAATAAAAACACGATGTTTCGGAAACTGGATCTGTTTCCGTCCTCAGATGAAGGAAAACACCTATTCAGTTGGGTCCCTTAGAAAGAGCTAGCCTCAATCACTGGACAGTGAGACATTCATATATTCAATACAAGCAGCATCATTCTTCCCTCAGGTTATGGTTATCTTCCTAGTCCAGTGACTGAGGTTAGTACCTTATAACAAACCCAGAGTACTTGTGCCCCACACCCTCACCCGAGGTTGGAAACATATCCAGTTTGCGAAACACTGTGTTCTTTACAATATAGAATGATGGACAAAATCCAAAAACTCAACAATCCTGAGTGTTATACACCACAGTCAGAATCCTTTTGAATCTACTATAACAAACTCGTTCCTGTGTAAGCAAATGGGTCGTCCAAAAAGTAAAGACTGCTAGCACACGTGCGCTACCTGCTGACTTTTCCTGGGATGTTCTTTCCATCCTCCCTACCATCCGGACCTGGCTCCAAGTGACTTCCACTTGTTCACACACTTGAAGCAATTTTTGGGTGGCACACATGGGTAGCAATGAAGAAGTGAAGATAACAGTTAAAGACTGGTGGCAGATTTCTAAAATGCAGGCACACGGAAACTTCTGACACAATATGGCAAGGCCTGAATCTTCATGAGGATTACACAGAAAAATGATCTAAGGTCTGTATTAATGATGTAATTTTTTTTTAATTTTATTAATTTATTCTTTTTAATTACCAAACAGTCTCCACTTTCTGGACAGCCTACATAAATAAGCAAATGCCTAACTCTCTGGGCAAGGTCATCCCAGCTACTTTGCTGTCAGAAGATTCCCTGTTATTATGGAACATAAAGGTTCGTCTCTTTTTTCACTTGTGTGGCACTGGCCACAAGATAGGGACCAGTTGCAGGCTCTTCCAAATATGGTATTGCAACTTCTAGTCCCGTAAAAGAGTAGGAATTTCTTGGAGATTATTGTCTTCTGGGGTGATATAGTCTGATATATGCTACACATGAAGGTGCTGCTTCAATTTTCAGTGTTGCTCTGAAGTCATAAGCAACATACCTCTGAAATATCAGTAAATATATACCACACTATACACTATCACATCCAGAAGACAATAATCTTCATAGTTCCTCCTGTGAGGTCCTTAAATCTCATAAGGAACTCTTGACTACCTGACTAGCTACTAGTCTTGGAAGATGTACTCTGTTCCATGCAATGTGTTACTGAGTTAGTGCACCACTGGACCTTACACTGAACCAGTTCCATCTGGGGTACTGTGTTCTGAAATGTGAGGTCATGTAGACTGGAAAAATTCAATGACATTTTGAGCAAGCATACTGTTTCCATCTTCAGAATCAAAAAGCAGGGCAAACAACAAGAATAACAAAAGAAGGGAAATTACCTGATGATGGCCCATGTGGCCAAAACATGTCGAAAATTAGAACAAATATATGACTGAAGACATTTTAGAAAATTTGATAACCACTTCTAATGTATAGAATGTGCTTTTAATATCCTATTGACATGTAACGATTTTAACATAAAAAATTGTCGAAATACATTTTTAGTGTCAAACAAATTTCTAATGTATTGTGACATGTTGAGCTATGGATCACCCCTACCTCCCCAGCGGTACGTGGCGGTAACGTAACGCTCATGTTACTACGGTAATAGGCGAGTTCCCGCCCCGCCACTCCCCTCTGTGGTGACATAACGCGCAACGCTACGTACCCGTAATCAACTTCCTACTGTGACGTGGCGCTCATTACACAACCGGCAAGCACTGCAGCTATATAAGTGAGCTTCACAGCAGCTACCAGTCAGTTGTACTGAGTCAGTCCTGGAGCTACCTCCGAGTCAGTCCTCGAGCTACCTCCGAGTTAGTTCCGAGTTAGCCAGCAACCAGCAAGTTGTATTGTGGCATTTGGAGTGTACTAATTGTGATACTGCAGATAGCAGTAATCGTAAATCTGTAATTTGGGTGATTGTAAGTGCGAATGTGAAATAAAATTCGCTATATTAAATACTTCGTGAAGTTATTTGTCGCGTTATACGCCCAATACGCGACAACTGGTGTCAGAAGTGGGATTTGGACTTACACACGTGACCGACGAGCGCCGAACTCAAGATACGCGACAACTGGTGTCAGAAGTGGGATTTGAACTTATACACGTGACCGACAGGATTTGGACTTACACACGTGACCAACGAGATTCGAACTCAAGACACGTGACAAACTGGTGTCAGAATTTTTACGAGCTTAAATACACCTCAGAGAATTTTACTGCTACAAAATGGAGATGCAGCAAATGATGGAAATGCTTCTCAAGGAAATCAGAGCTTGCCAAGAAAAAACGGAGGCAAAATTAGACTCCTGGCGAGAAGAGAGGGCTGCAGAGAGAGAAGCCTTCCAAGCAGAGACGAAAGCCATCGAAGCCAGGACGGCCGCCATGCGAGCCAAGAGGTTGAAAACCAATCTGAATGCCTGGCAGGAAGAGACGACAGCCTGCCAAGATGCAATGGAGACAAGTCCAAGCGAAAAACAGGATGTAGTGGGCACGGCACAAGAAGATGAGGTCCCCATAGTGATACCGGTCGGAGTGACGATGGCCTACCAAGAAACGGAGGCACGTCCAGAAGATGAAAACCCGGCTTCAGTGCACAGGAAACCTGAGGCGGCAGAACTACTAGAGGTACCCGTACAAGACGCCGAAGTAATGCCGGTCGGAGAACCGA